TAAATTGCCGGGCAAGGATCCACCGGCCTACTGCAACGTGCAGACGGCGGGGAGCGGGCTGCAGATGTACGGGTACGGATACTGCAACGTCGACCCGTCGACGGCGTGCGGCGGCTGCCTGACCGCCGCCCGTAACTTTTTGATCGACGGCTGTGAGGGAACCGGGTCGGGTCAGGTGATCGGCGAGCACGATCATTGTTACATCTGGATCGGGTTTGGCGGATGTCCCAACTACGACTAAGGATATTCATGTCATCTTTTTTTTTGGTATTTCCGACGTTAATGGTCGGTATAATAATAAAAAGTCAGGGTCAAATGAGATGCTTCGTCCCGATAGTAGTCGCCCACTTAATGGAAGAGTTTATCTGAGATATACGATTAAATGCTTGTAATCATCATTCGATCATAAGAACGATTTCGTGACTAACCTTCTGAGAAGAGATGACTCCACATCTCTGAAAATCCTATTGTTTCTCTCTGGTAAAATGTACCAAAACACACGGCATGACACGTGTCAGTGATTGTTCAATTGTATTTGTTAACCGCTAGAACAAAACCAAAATAGAGAAGGGCAGAGAGATATTACAAGTAGGGTGATTTAAGAAAAAAAAAATAAGACTATATATGTTTAGCAAACCTCCAAATCAAATGAAATTTTTAATCAAGCTTTTGTTTAGTCCAACCAACATCAAGCTAATTAAACCTACGCGGGTACAAGGCCCAATCGAAACCGATGGGCCACTGGCCCAGCTCTCGGAAAGGCCAGGCCCGCAGACTCATCACAGGTCACAAATCCGGCCGGGACCAGGGAGGTTGCCCACCGCGCCGGATTCCCAAATACCGCCGGGCGGAGACGCAGACCAGAGACGAGATAAGAGACAGTCAAATCTCCGGCTCTCCACCTTTCTCTTAGAAATTCAAGGTCAGTCAAATTCGTTCCGTGAGTCTGATCAAGAGGATTTCAGAAAATGGATAGTGTTTGCTTAAGAACCTTCAGGAGATTTAAGAATGGCGCCGCCCAATTCGGTCGCAGCCGCCGCCGATGCCGGCGACTGCACTCTTCAGCCTATTGGCCACAAGGACTCCTTGAACAGGTCACTCTCTTCTTCTTTTGCTCCTTTGAATACATGGGTTTATGTCTGTTTACTTAATCGGAATGTTTGAGTGTCTTTGTTGACCGGAGAAAGATTCCTCCGGCGACCATTTACCCTGATATTGAAGATTCTTATAATGGATGGTATTGATTTTATATCCCTTTTGCCTCTGTATTTGTATTCAAATAGATACGAACAGAAGAATACGAATCGATTCCCCCACCCCAAAAACAACAAAATTTTCATAGGTAGCACATTATATAAAACCATGGATGGCCGGCAGTAATGGCGTTTTCAGGACGTCCCTACTCCCGTGTTTTTTCGCCCGTCTCATTGACCAAGTATGATGTAAGACGTTCTGTTAACATCTCTGCCCCCACTGCCAAGAAAAGACAAGATATTCCATTGCTATACCACTGCTCCTTCCACACAGAAACAGCAAATGCAGCCACTAGCCTCTCCCCCACAATGTCACTCCTTTGGTTCTTGATCTTGCTAGGTCTCTTCAGCTTCAATTCTCCCACAGCTTCTGCTCAGCAACACTACGACGCATCAGATTGTGCTGCGCCGAATTCCACCGCCCCTGGTTCCAGATACACCTGCAACACAACATCAAGCAGCAGCAGTAGTGCTTCTTGCAGCACATTTCTGATCTTCAGGGCTAACCAGCAATTCAGAACCTTGGCGAGCATCTCGGAGTTGTTGAGCAGTAGCGTCGACTCGCTGCAGCGTCTGAATTCAGGAGTTGCATCATCAGTGGAGGTTCTCGAACCGGGCAGGGAAGTTTTTGTTCCTGTACAGTGTTCATGTTCTGGTCAGTATTTCCAGTCAGAGTGGGTGACCTACGCAGCTCCTTCGAACAAGACCAGTATAGCAGATGTGGCGTGCTCGGTGTTTGAGAGCTTGGTGACGTATAGTACAATCATGGAGGCGAATGGTTTCGACACGGATCATGTGGTAGCTGGCACTGCCATTCACCTGCCTCTCAAATGTGCTTGTCCTGATCATCACGGTGACAATTCGACCAACGGAGGGTCGAACTACCTTGTTACGTATCCTGTGTTTGAAGGTGACGTGCTGACTGAAATCGATGACAAATTCGGGATTTCAGCTGAGGATTTGTTCAGGGTCAATGGCCTCGATCCTTGGCCTACAATCTACCCCAACACGACCCTGTTGATCCCTCTGAAAGAAAGCTCCGTGAGGATCAACATGACTAGTCACTCTTCTTCTCCACCTCCACCAGCTCCAGTCTTTCTCCCCACGATCATCGTCGAGAGACGTTCATCGAGGAACAATACGAGGTTGAAAAGAAGCTTCTACATCGCGGTATCAGTCATTGGGTTCTTCATTTTAGTAGCAGCAGTGTTTGCTTTCGGTATGTACATGAGTGGTAGGAAGAAAGAGAAGATTCAGAAGCTGCTTTCGTTCAACACAAGCGTCTCTCAACTAACTTGCTCCACGCCGAAAAGCTCAGCCACGGGTTTAACTCCATGTTTGTCTCCTGATCTTCTAGTTGGGATCAAGTACTCCTTGAGAAGTTACAGCATAGATGAGCTGAGGATAGGAACGAACGATTTCAGCGATGAGAACAAGATTGGAGATGAGGGTTACAAAGGGTTGATCGATGATGTTGAGGTGATGGTGAAGCCATTGATGTTTGACGACACTAGGCAAGTGGTTGATATTCATTCAAGGATCAACCACATCAACATCGTGGCCTTGCTTGGTGTGTGTTATGATCATGGAGACGACTCTTGCATTGTTCTTGAGCTGCCTAGCAATGGCTGCTTGAGAAATTGTCTCGCGAATCCATCAAGCCACCTCCGGTGGAATAGAAGAACGCAGATAGCGTTCGATGTAGCTACAGGACTCCATTACCTTCACTACTGCATCTTCCCTTCATATGCTCATATGAGTGTGAACACTAGGAACATTTTTGTGACCTCGAATTGGAGGGCCAAGCTCACAAATATCAGGACCAACCCCAGCAGTGGTCAGAGTCCAAGTCACAAAGGGTGGTTGCCTCCTGAGTATAACGGGTCAGCTTCTGATAAAGTTGACATCTTTGCATTTGGGGTGGTCCTGCTAGAGCTGATATCAGGAAGGGAGGATACTGATGGAACTTCATTCAAGGAATCACTTGGCTTCCTTGGAGGTGGAGCTGGCGAAGGAGGATGTTTCGAACAGCTGAGGAGCTTCGTCGATCCATGTCTAGAAGGAAACTATCCTCTCGCGGAGGCATTATGTCTATCTGTTTTAGCAAAGGCATGTGTGGAGGATGACCCTTTGCATCGACCCTCCATGGATGACATCCTCAAAGTTCTCGTCAGGATGGTCTGAAATGCTCCCCAGCTGCAAGGAAAGCCTATAGGAACCTACTCAGAGGCATCTGTAGTTATTTATGGTAAGAATTTTCTTACCCTTCACAACCATTTTTGTTTCACTTGCAATATAAAATTGTTTGAGGCATTCTGAGTAGAAGGGACAAAAGGGATGAGCACCAACTGACGCTTAGCATATGCTAGAGAACAGATAGCTTTCAAGATCCATTTTTGTGCTCTTTAGATGTCTTTCTCATATCATTTCTTTATGATGAACCATACCCCAGTAGCTCAACTTGCCTGTTGGACAGAACTGAATTTATTTATGTGTATGATTGGTTTGACTTGTGTCTTGTTCTAGAGCCACCACTTATGAGGTCACACACTCTTGGATATATGCAAATGTCTTCAGGAATATATCAACTATATAACTACTTACTCCTGTTAAAAAATTCATGTCTGGAATCCTTCTGGAAATTTGATGCAACTGAATTTGTGTTTTTCTTTTTTGCAGAGAAGGTGGGCTCTTTCGACTGAGTTAACAGTATGGATGATGGAAATGCAAAAACGGGATCTTCTTCTCCACGCTGCTGCTTTCACCTGGCAGTCTGCTTTCTTCTGATCCATTAATCCACATACTGTCAATGGTTTCATTTCAGGCACGTCCTTGTCAGCAGCAGCAGTTAGTCTTCTCTTGGGTTATGTGGAGGTTTTGGTGCCAGTTGGATGAGTCTGATTCGAGTTGGATTTGGGTTTATAAAATCGATCAACCGCATCAGCTTGTTAGGGAGTTTATGTAACATTTTCTATATGTTCAGTTTGTACGAAAAGAACAGTACAGAAATGGAGGCAATGACCATTTTTGGTTGGTACAAAGTTAAGCAAAGAGATCAGTTTTGGTGGCTGTTATGTCATTGAACCAAAATTTAAGTGGCCAATGATGTAAATCACCCGAATTTAATTGTGTGTAATTTACCATCCTGCCCTTTATAAATTGCAAATTTGGTTATGGGTTTTATGTCTTTGCGTGTCGAGTTTTTATCGTTTCGAGTTAAAATTGACGGATTAGGAGGTTCTGTTAATTACGTCAGGAAAAAATGTATTTTATTAACCGAAACCGATGAAAAATAATTATTAGTGATCTAGTTTTTGGAATGTTTTTTTTTTTGGTGAAAACAGGCCGCTAAGGGCGCCCTAACCTTTATTGCAAATTAACAAGACGAGGAGTAACAATCCCCGCAACATCAAAATACAGCCAGTAACTCAGAGTGCTGTTTGGGACTAGGATCCCGTGAAACCCAATGGGTAACGAATGACCAACGAAAGCAAGGTGTTCAGCCACATAATTAGCTTCCCTATAAACATGTTCCAACCTGACGAGCCACCCCTGCGCAAGCCACCGGCGTATCTCAGCTACCAGAGTAAAATGTGGGTGCTGTGGAGTAGCATTCCCTATCAGGGCGAGTTTTTGGAATGTTTAACTAATCTTAGTGCCACTAATAGAATAAAAAAAAATCATTTATAAACTTAAAACAAATTAATAATTTAGTGAAACTTGCAATTTACCGTTTGAAGAATTAGACCGAGTCACTGACTAAAGAGTAACGAGTCTGATTCCCAATTTCTCCAGGCATCGGCGGCGGTACTTTATTCTTTCCCCTTTTCTTCCGTATATTGGTATGGCGGCTTCACCTAAACGCAGACCAGAGACGAGGGAAAGAGAAAGTCTCCACCTTTCGCTTACCATTTACAGGTAAAACCAAATTCAATCCCGCCATTCTGGTCGAGAAGCTTTCAGAAACGAATAGAGCTTGCTTAAGAAGCTTTTTGGGGAGTTAAGAATGGCGCCGAATCCGCTCGCTGCCGCCGGCGACAGCACTCTCCAGGCTATTTGCTACAAGCGCGGCTCCCTCCAGCTCCTTGACCAGGTTTCTCTCTCTTTCTTTTCTCCTTTGAGTTGACGGGTTTGTGTTTGTTTACTTGTGGCTGATCGGATTGTTGATCGCCTGAATTGAACCAGCGAAAGCTTCCTCTCGAGACAATTTACTTGGATATCAAAGACTCGTCCGATGGATGGTATTCATTGTCTCCTCTCTCTAATGTCAACAATTGTTTTGGTTCTGATGGTTACAAATGCTATCCATTTCATTATATTGCATCACCGTGGTTAAGAAGTTGCTGTTGTATGACCCAGGTCGGCCATAAGAGATATGGTGGTCCGAGGGGCGCCTGCTATTGCCATTGCAGCAGCTCTCTCACTTGCAGTGGAAGTGTCAAACTTGGTGGGGTTTACCGGGACGCCAGTAGAAGCTGCTGCTTTCCTCTCTGAGAAATTGGGATATCTTGTTTCAAGGTAATAATTTTTGCAGATTTGTTTGATTGTGATTGCTTGATGGGCAGCTCATGAATGGTTTCTTGTATGCTTCCTCAGCCGCCCAACTGCAGTGAATCTGTCGGATGCTGCGGCCAAGCTGGAGGAAGTGATAGGGAAGGCTGCAGCAACTGCATCTGAAGCTAACAATGTATTTCAGGTATCGCCTACCATAATTGGGTTTATTTTTAGAACTCTCTGTATGTGATCGGTCAGCTGTGTGTGGGGAGGATTTCACTGACTTTTGTTGGATAATTGCAATGACAATTGGTTAGGCTTACATTGAAGCTGCTGAAGCCATGCTTGAAGAAGATGTAGCTTCAAACAAGGCAATTGGGTCATATGGAGCACAGTTCATTCAGAACTATTTGAAAGGCTGCAAGAGCTTTTCTGTTCTGACTCACTGCAACACTGGCAGGTTACTTTCTTTCTCCACGTGATTCCTTTCAAGTAACTTCTTGAAGAAGAGGTCTTCTTCTTTGAAAGGAAAGCAGTCATCTTTTCAACTTTGTAGCCTCTGGAAAAAGCTCCATGGTGCGTTTCTAATGTGTTTTCATTTGTCTTCAGTCTTGCAACGGCTGGATATGGCACTGCTCTGGGTGTCATTCGTGCACTTCATTCAGGCGGAGTGTTGGAAAGAGCTTTTTGCACTGAGACACGTCCATTTAATCAAGTGAGTCCATGATTTCTATTAGCCTTTTGGCACTTCCATAAACTTTTTGGTATTTCAGAAGCTATTGCAGTTTGGATCCAGATTTTTGCTTATCTGTGGTAATACGAATAGTTAGATATCTTGACGAAGCATCATGATTTTTGCCCCTTACTTGAGCAGGCTGTTTATCCACAAGTATATATAGGCCCCAAAGGGTTTTGTTTGCATAAGGTTGCCATTGATTATGAATGCTTCTGGGAAATAACAATGTCGAGTTGATGTCCTGCTTTCTTGTATCATGAATGCCCTTTAATATTCCTACTGCAGGGATCTAGGCTCACAGCATTTGAGCTGGTGCATGAAAAAATACCTGCTACTCTTATAGCAGACTCCGCTGCAGCTGCACTGATGAAAGAAGGCCGAGTTAGCGCCGTAATTGTTGGAGCAGATAGAGTTGCAGCAAACGGTAACCTAATTAGAACACACTTCGACCTCCCTTTCTGCATCTTCTTATCAAAACATATGCATCACTTGCGAAAGTTATTTTGCAGGAGACACTGCCAACAAGATTGGAACCTACAGCCTAGCTCTTTGTGCCATGCACCATAAAATCCCTTTCTACGTCGCAGCACCAGTTACATCTATCGACCTGTCCCTAGATTCAGGGAAGCAGATAGTTATAGAGGAACGGTCCCCAAAGGAACTGCTGAACTCACGGGGAGGACTCGGGGAGCAAGTTGCTGCCTCCGGGATCTCGGTCTGGAACCCTGCTTTCGATGTCACGCCTGCAAGCTTGATCGCTGGTATCATAACCGAGAAGGTACTTCCTTCCTTCCCTCCAACTCCAACCGTTCTCATTTTGTCTCTCTCTTAGAATAGGCACAGACAATAGAACCATATCATTCATGGTTCCTCTATTAATATGGGGTCTTTCTGTTACTTGAGCAGGGTGTCATCACGAAGGCAGGTATCGACGCATTCGACATAAAAGCTTTCGTGGCAAGCAACGCATAATGCACTTGTTCTAATACATCAGCCTATTCAATTAACTATGTAATAACATCTCCATCAGCGAGATTACTCTTCGATGTGAAACGTGTGCCTTAAGTAACGTTTTGTTGCTGCTGCTATCAAGATGAAATCATGCTTAGCTAGTTCTCCCCTATGCTACTTATATTATATAGCTAGGTTCTATTGAACTGTTGTGCACTCATTTACAAAATTTATGCTGTATTTATTTATCAACTATTGAATATATATAAGAAAGAAAATTACTTTCCATTTTTTTTTTTTACTGAGCCAGTCAAAATCCAGCTGGATCAGGCCGTAGAAACGGACAGCATCTGTTTACTGGAGCCCAACTGCATTCAGCCCAACGGCCCACATTGTGCTAGGTTTTCTTCGGATGCCCTGTCGGCATGGTATAAATATCAGAGCTCATTCATGATTCATCCCATTCCCAGCCAAATCGAAGGTAAAAAAAAAAATATTCACGCCCGGAAGGAAAGGTAAAGGGGATGTCGGGAATGTCAGGAACAGCGAAACAATTGGTGGACAAGAAACCCAATGTTGATAGGGAGCGCATCGATCTCAAAGTTACAGACCAGGTAAATAGTAATCAAACCCTCTACTTAAGGTTTTAGGGTTTTACTGTGAGTGATTTTAGGTTTTTGTACAGTGAGTGGTTTTTTTGTCATCGGCTGGCTGGACACTTCCTGGTTAAGCTTTGGGTACTGGTTGCAAAAGGGTTTTTGCCCATTTCGCAGGAATTGTAACAGTAGACTCTGTGGAATGTGAATGTTGAGCTAATTTTCTTTCACCTGGCTCTTCTCGTGCACACTGTCAAAAGCAGAGCATTGCTAGCTAGTTGTATAGAGAGTGTTGAGCAAACATTGGAAAACCAGAGCTCAAAGGAACCACAGGGGGGAAAATACTGAGTGGTTTGGTGTAGTTAAGTTTAGTGAGGTAACATGCATTGGATGGAACATTAATCGTTTTGCTGATGAAAATGTGTATAATGTGAAGGAGGGGAAGGAGATTTTATTCAAGATATGGAGGGACAGTCCCTTGAACAAGCTGATGAACGCCTACTGTGAGCAGCGGAAAGTGGTTCCTAAAACCTACGTGTTCTTACATGACGGCCAAATAATCCATCCTCTCAAGACTCCAGATGAGGTCTACTCTCTGTCCCTCTCTCTATCTCTCTATCTGTTTCTGGCTGTCTACATTTAACAATTTCACGAACATTGAATGTGTGTGATCTGTGATTTTTTGGTTTAACAAATGCAGCTGGAGATGGAGAATGGAGCTGAGATCGCCGCAATGCTTCATCAAACCGGTGGCTGCAGCTTTAAGCCTTTAACTAACTGATGAATGCCCTACAACATCCCAAATGTTTGAACAAGGGTTTGTAAGATATAGATATATATGCCCATATTTTGTTAAGCAAACTTACTGCATGAGGAGGAGGGGTTTCTTTCTCTTTGGTTTTGTTGAAAGAGGAGAGTTTTTTATTAGGTCCTCTATCTAGCTAGGTCGAGCGTAGTTCGATATGGTTTCGTGGTTTGAATCTAGGATGTGTAGGATGTCATGTATAATCTTCGGGTTTTCTATGACTTACTGGTTAGCGGGGAGGCTTAACCTCTCTATTCCCCGTCGTTCGCTTGTGGATGAATGCTTATTATTATGAATGGTGGGTGTTGTTCATAGTCGGCAAAACCAAACATTTAGTAGTATTCTCGTATTATTATGAAATCATCTCATTGTTCTTCTCTCAAATGTTTTCATTTGTACAGACTAACTGCATATGAACTCTGCTTTAGTACACTAGTTAATGAATAGAAGATGGTTTTATCAAGTGTTGGTACTCCTATTTAGTAGGAACGAATTATATGATATCCATGTATTACTTGTACGTTACTTCAGAGTGTATTTCATGTTGATTATGCAACTAAATAACGATTTTTTCCCATAGAAATTCATTTCGTTTCTACATTCCTATGATTTAATAACATGATTAAACCATTAAATGAAGGAGAAGCACAAAATCCGATTGGATTAACATTATATATATATAAAGCTATGAAAAAAAACATCTTTGTTATTGGTAATGATCGAAAGAAGCATATCTAATCGTCAATATCCATCAACATGAGCAACCTAACCTTTATTCACGAGAACCAACAAGCAAGACGATCAACTATCCATTACGAAGCATCGTCACATTGCAAAACAAATCGTTTTTAGTTTGGTGCATTTCAAATTTTGCCCAAATCTTCTTGTACTACTATACTACTAATCTAATTAAAATGAATTAAATGAATATGGTTATAAAAAGAATATAAAATGAATATGGGCTGTGCTAAATCTTTCAAAGCCCAAAAAAACATTTCGCAGCCCAACCCAGCTAACTAGCCAGGCCCCAAACAGCTAGCAGTCTGTTAGGTTTTCCGCAGCCGTAAATGATTCGGTAACTTTCCCTGTACTCTGTTTTACTCCTCTACCCATATAAATACAAAAACCTTCTTCCCATCGAGAGGTAAAATATCTTACTGAGGCAGCAAAGGGAAAACCGATCGAAAGAGCAGAAGGATCGAGGGCGAAGAACGATGTCAGGAACCACAAATAATCAAGATTCCACTGACAAGAAACCCGCCATAGATCCAGACCGCATCGATCTCAAGGTTAAAAGCCAGGTAAAAAAATTATCACGTTGAATCATTATCATCTGAGTATTGAGTTTCGACGTTAGGGTTTTTAGGGGTTTTTTTCCCCCAATTTTTCTTCATTTGCGGAGAACTGATCCAAAATCCACTTGATTCTGTGGTTCTCCAGCCCAATTGCTGTTTTTTTGTTTATGTAGTGTGACAATTATATGTCTCGTGAGTCGTGATCAAGGGTATTTGAGATTTTGTGTGTGTATGAACTTTTTCGTTAATTTGATGTTGGTCGTGAGTCGTGATCAAGGGTATTTAAGATTTTGTGCGTGTATGAACTTTTTTCGTTAATTTGATGTTGGCATTAGTTATTAGTTCGAATTTGATAACGCGGCGAGGTCTTCTCTATAACATCGGAGCTCCGAACAATCTTAGAAATCGGCTTTGGTGGTAACCCTCTATACCTTCCAAGACGGTTTTAGTGCGCATGTGATGTTGGTCGCAAGATTCGAAACCTATTTGAATGAGTCGTTTCATGTTCTTAATTAACATCACAATAGTGTTTTTGATTAATTGTTTTGGATTGATGAGTTTAATTATGTGGGTTAATTGTTGATTATTAGGATGGGGGCGAGGTGTTCTTCAAGATAAAGAAGAACACCCCATTGAAGAAGCTGATGAACGCCTACTGCGATCGGCAGTCGATGGACTTCAACGCCGTCGTTTTCCTGTTCGACGGCCGCAAGATCCGCCCCGAGCAGACTCCGGTCGAGGTCGGCGATCTCATTATCTCGCTCTCTCTACATATATTTCCCCGTTACTTAACGAATCAAATGAACTTAATTGAGTTTTTTTTTTTTTTATTTGTGGGTGAAAATTGAACAGCTGGAGATGGAGAACGGAGACGAGATAGACGCAATGCTTCATCAAACCGGCGGCGGCTGCATGCAACCGTGTTCTTATTTTTGAACGGTGTAATTTTTTTTTGCGAGTTTAATTAGGTGTAAGATTTAGCGACGGGTGTTTTTTTTTTAGCAACGGTTTTGCTGGAGATGTACCTCTTGCTCGAGTTTGTGTGCTTTCAGTTAACTTTCGTATACTGTCCTTCAATAGCTAGTGGTTGCAGTCGCGGCTTAGGGTTATCCCACCAGAAAACTATCGTTGTCATTTACGGTAGGAATTGTCTAGGTAATTAAATCGCTCTATCTAAAGCGATCTGTGGCTATAACAAGATCTGTGTTCAATTTGATTGTTGTTGTTATCTCGAAGATGTGCGAGAAGCTCTAACAAAAAGCGACGGAGTTGTATGTATACAGATTAAGGTTATTTCTAACATTTGAAAATTGATAATCTAGCTAAAAGTGATAGTGAAGGAATCATCATGATAAATGGAAGGGTTTTGCAAGTACAAATTGCTTCTTGTTGTTGAAGCTATAGATGACAAAGATTGAATTTGACAAGGTTATAGGAAAGTTAGATGATTTTTCCTTGGGTAGTAGATTTATACTTACAACAAGGTATATGAGGGTTTTAGATTTTCTTCGAGATTGCATATTGTATGAACTAGTAGAAATGATGAGTAGTCATCTTCCCCTACAACTTTTTAGCAAACATGCTTTTGGGACCGACAATCCTCTAAAGGAAGATGCGGGAATATGTGAGGAATTTGTAAAAGTTGATGTTGGGTTTCTTTTAGCTCTCAAGGTGCAGGGTCACTTTTATTTCATAAAGAGAGGAAATTTTGGTAAGAAAAATTGATAGATCGAATTGCATAACATACCTTCTACTAGAGAAAACCTAGTGCAAGAGAGAATGAAGATTAGCTACAATGACTTGTCGTACAATGGAAGGCAAATCTTTATTGACATTGCCTATTTTTTACCAGTGTCCACAAAGATTTACCATACTACATGTGGAGTGGCTTTGATTTTTATCCGGAAAGTGGAATCGACACTTTCATTCATAGATCTTTCATAAAACTCGACGAAGGAAACCAATTTTGGATGCACGATCACTTCAAAGATTATGGGAGAGCCATTGTTATAGAGGAATATGTTCGACATTCATACAACGGTAGCATGATATGATGTACCTAGGATGCCCTAGACATGTTAAGAAATGGAAAGGTAAAAACCTTTACCTCTCAATATCATGTCAAGGACGTCGTCAGTAGACCATATGCTATTGAGGTTGTATGGATATTGAACATCTTCTTTGAAAATGGCTCTCCAAAGATCTCTGATTTAATCATGCATCTAAAATCGATTTTCTTAATCGAGTTTCATCAAAGATATGTGGATGAGAGTACTGATCCCACTCTCTGGATAAAATCATAGTCACTCCACATGTAGTAAGGTAAATCTTTGTGGATACTGATAAAAAAAGGCAATGTCAAGAGAAAGATGTGTCTTCCCTTGTACGATTAGTCATTGTATATAATCTTCAATCTCTCTCGCACTATGTTTTCGGTAGTAGAATGCATGTTTTGTAATTCTATCAACTTTTTTTTTTCTTCTAAAATTTCTGTCTACGAAATTAAAGTGGCCATGTCACCCTGAGAGCTAAAGGAAGCCTAGTAGAAATTTTTACAAATTCCTCACATATTTCAGCATTTCCTTTGGTGGATTGTCCATCCAAAAACATGTTTATTAAAAAGTTTTCTGGAAAAATGACGACTCATTTCTCATGGTACTTACAATTTGCAATCTGGAAGAAAATCTAAAACCCTCATATACCTTGTTGTAAATATAAATCTACTATCCGTGGAAAAATCACCTAACTTTCCTATAAACCTTGTCGAATTCAAACTTGTCATCCAGATTGTCAACAAAAATAAGCCATTTGTGTTTGCAAACCCTATCTTTTTATCATGTTGATTACTTTGCTAACACTTTTAGCTTGATTATCAACTTTCAAAATGATTAGAGATAACCTTATTCTGAAGAAGATACAACTTTATCGCTTTTTTTTTTGTAAAAGCTTCTCGCACATCTTCGAGATAACAACAACTATCAAATTGAGCACCAATCTTGTTATAGACAACTTTAGATAGAGTGGTTTTACCTGTCAAACGGGTTCGCCAAATCAAATTGCTCTTGGTTTTTTTATCACTTTCCTCTGCACAGAAATGTCAAAAAGTATGATAATTATTATAAGAAAACGAGTGTGCCACTGAACAATTTAAGGACAAATTATTAGTGATGCAGCATAAGGTTAAAATAAGAATTTCAGCCCTGAGTTATTATTGCTGCTACCCGTCGTTATTGTTATTCCCGACTCCAAACTGGGAGGCCATGAACGGCGGCGGCCGCTGGTGATGAAGCTGTGGCAAATGCCCCATCATCTAGCTCCGGCAGAATTATCCCGCCCGGGGAGCTGGTGGGCGCTCCACCACCGCCGCCGCCGGAAGATGAGCGGAGGAGAGAAGGGGAAGGGAAGGTAGGGAGGGAGGGGGAAATTACTAAAGCAGAAACACAATGCAAAGAAGAATATAAATAGCCTGTAAAGCTTTCTTCCTAGCTTCATTATTTTTTTCACGAGGAAGTTGGAATTAAAGTGCGACAGGATATAAAAAAAAAGAGAGGATAGAATCATAGAAAAGATTATATTTCATCCCCTAGATCATTCATTTACTATTTCACTAGTCACTAAAGTATAGGATTTAGAGGTGGCAATTGGATCGGATTCGTGGATTCGTGGATTGGATTCGTGGCTCCATGGATCAAATGGATTGGATCCAATGGATTGGTGGATTCATGGATTGGAGGATTGATCCATTAATCCAAATAACATCCAAGGCTTGGACCAAAATGTAAATTTTGAAAAGTTTAGGTACTAAAATGTCATAATGAAAAATTTTAGGTACCAAAACGTAATTTTCCAATGATATTTTTCGTATAAAAATATAAATTTTAGGTACCAAAATGTAAAATATAAAAAATATAGGTACCAAATCGTAATTTGCCATTTGGATCTATGGATTGATCCATGAATCCACCAATCCAATTGGATTTGGATCAAATGGATTGGATTTAAATGGATTGGATTAGGTGGATAATTTGGTGGATGGATTGGATTGGATTCATGGATTTGGATCCTAATTGCCACCTCTAATAGGATTCATTCCTACACTTGTGGGAACAAATTGGCTCTTCTAGCCATGAACCATTTCAAATTCATATAATCTAGTTCTATTCTATCAAATCTTTCAAACTATATAACAAAATAAATCATACTTTTTTTAATTAAATTCAAGTTACTAATTAGACTAGCAATCCATAGTGGAACACACAAAGCCGCCGACAAGGAGGCTGGGAAATGCAGAAAATGAATCCGTAATAAAATTGGTAATTCAAGTTGGATGATCTTAGTTTTTAAAAAGAAAATCTCTTAATTTTTTGGTAGTTAAAATAATATGCCAGTAAAATCTGAACAATTCATATGATTTCATGTCTAATAGTAAGAAATCATGCGTTCCATCGCAACCCGTGAATAAAAAAATAAGCAAATCGTTATTATACCTGGTTTGATTGTTGTACTGGTCCAGCCGCTAATCCACTAATAGTATTGATGGGGAGTGCTTTTAACGCCTGGCATCAATAAAAGCTTTCTTGTTGGTAGATCCTTTTTCCATTGCTGAGACTGAAAAGCTAACTCCCATCCCATCTACACTGATATTGATATACCAACCAAATTTGTCCCAAGTAACCAACTCTCTTAATAGTTAATACAATTAACTCAACTAAGTTTTAAGATGGTAATACACAACCTAAAAACAATAACACACACTAAGAGTAAAGCACTAACTCGAATAATAATTACTTACTTTAAAGAGCTGGAAGAAAACTACTGCTATAAAAAAATTAAACTGATGAACCAACAATTGAAAAATAGAAAGACAAAGTAATAAGAGACGTTCTCTTAAAACTCCCTAAACTTAATACCACCTCAGCTGCTTAGTTTAGCTGAACCAAAAATAGAGGAAGCAGGGACAAGCTCCATTCTTGTTTTCATCGGCCGGTTCAGTTTGCCCTTGACGACACTTTTGGTGGGCTTGGGCCTGTAAGAAGTTGCATTGCAGCTGGAAAGGGGCGGAAAAGCCAGAAACGTACACAATAGGCCTTTGAGAAAAGCAGAGCAAAGGTATCAGGAACAGAATTTAAAACAAGGGGGAAATTTCCCAGTAAAGATTGACAGATCGAGGCAAACCAACCTATTCGACGGGCCTGCAATACCAACTCCAGGGTTACCAACAACCGGGTTTCGAAGCTGAGCATAGAGAGAAGGGGTTGCACTTTGCAGCAGACGAACTCACTCGGTGGCAGCTGGGAGTTGCTAGCTGGTAGTAGGTGAGTTACGTGGATCTGTGCAGCGAATTCACTTGGCATATTTCTACCAAGAAAAAGCAAAGTCCCACGGCATATCTAGCAGTCGATCTGACCCAACACTTCACTCTCATCCTCCTCTCCATTTCCAGGTACTCTAACTCCTCCAACTCATCAAGTCCATTGACCTCGACCAGTTTCGTGCACCCAGAAATAGTAAGCCTCCTCAACTTCTTGAGACCAGACAGATTTCCCAACTCCGTTATTGACCTGCAATCACGCAGGTTCAGCTCTCTTAACGACTCCAGTCCCTCGACTCCCTCCAACCCAGTCAGCTCTATGCATCCCTTAAGTTTCAAATCCCACAAATTCTTGAAGCCGGATAAGTTGGGAAGCCTCGTGATTGAACGACACTCATCCAGACTTAGCTTCTGTAACGACTCCAACCTGTTGATCCCCGCAAGATCAATCAAGCTTTCGCACAAGTAGAGGGATAATTTCTTGAGATTACTGAGCTCGGACAGACCAGGCAGCTGTCGGATCGAAAGGCAACCCCTCATACTCAACCGTTCTAACGACATCAATCTCTCCAACCCTTTAACCTCCGTCAACTCTGGACACCAGTGGATGTTCAACCGTTTCAGATTGACGAGACCGGAGAGATCAAGAGATGGTCCCTGACCAAACAATATGTCGGAGAACGTCAATTCTTCCAATGCTCCCAGAAGTTGAAGTCCATCCATGCTTTCCAAGCGGGGACATTCCTCGATTGTCAGACAGGATAAAGACTCCCCGAGGCCGTCCATGCCTTGGATTTCGACGAGATTCCTGCAGCGGCCAACCTCCAGATCCTTCAACTTGCTCAAATTCGCCAGACTCGGCAGCCTCTCCAGATTGACGGAACTCAAGGTCAGGGTCTTGAGCAGGAGCAGATTCTCAAGTCCGTTGAGGCTGTTCAGATTCAAGCAATCGCTTATCACCATAGTCTCCAGCGCCCTCAGCTCTCCCAGGCCGCGAATCTCGGCCACCTGGACACCTGAGACTTTGAGTTGGGTAAGATTGCACAAATTCTCTAGGCTGGGGAGTTCATTCAAATCTGAGCAACCAACGACTTTAAGGCTGGTTAAAGATGCCGGAGCAGCAGTAGCAGCAAGGGAAGTTGCCCCCTCATCCTGGTCCTGCCGCAGCAGTGGACCATTATATTTTTTCCGTTCTGATAAGAACTGTTGTGCACCATCGGTAGGGCAGACCAATATGCACCACGTAAGAGTCAATTCCTTCAAATTGGGAAGCTGCCAAAAGTCGTCGAGGAACCAATAGCCCTTAGTGCAGCTAAGGTATTCCAACTCCTTGAGCTCTAGCAGATTTGGGACCCCAAATGATGGACCCAAAATGGATAACCTCTTTAAGCTCCTCGGAAGCCTGGGTATCTCCATCCAGTAGTTTGCCGGCTTCCACGATCCTAACGACAAGATTTTGAGAGAGGACAAGTTCTCCATCCCGGCAGGCAATTCTGTCAAACCGGTCTCACTCACGTCCATCTCCTCCAGTCGTTGAAGGTTTCCAGTGTCACCTCCACTAATGACTAACTCTGTTATGGCGGTATAGTTGAGTAGCAGCTTTTTCATATTCTTGAATTTGCCAATGTGTATCTGTCCTTCCAATTTGTGACACCACATAAAGTTGATTAACTCAAGGCTTGTGCATTTGGACATGTCAGGAGATTTTGTCAGCTCCCGGCACTCGTGTAGATTTAATGCTTTCAGCTTTGTTGCCGCCTGTGGATTGTGATAAATAGTTAGTTATACGCTATAACATTCTCTATACGTCACAGAATTGTTATATGTCATATATGAAATCCTGAGAATGACAAGAGAGAAATGAATTACCTTTACTCCGCTCCAACCCTTCCAGTTATCCTTCACATTGCAAGAACACAAATCAAGTACCGCCAACTTCTTCACGTTAATATTAGTTGGGATAGATGCACACTGATGCAATTGAAGGAAACATATATTTGGAAGGACCTGACTGAAATCCCCCATCATCTGCCTATATTGCACATTCAAATATCTTAAACCTGATAGTTTCTCAAAATTCTGGCTTTTAAGCATCTCGTTACCGTAGCCATGTATTTGAATAGCTTCCACCCGTTCACTTCCCTGTACACAAAAAGAAACTAGTTAGTACACTTGAGCATACATAAATATCACCTAATACAAAGGAAGAAGTCACCAAACTATTTGACATAAATATTTGCCTGTCTATTCCTTAACATGTCGAGGGCATCGTCAGTAGACCATATTCTACTGCGGTTGTATGGATGTCGAACATCTTCCTTTTTAACGATGGCTCTCCCAAGATCTCTGATGTGATCGTGCATCCAAAATCGGTTGTTTTTCTCGAGTTTCATCAAAGATCTATGAATAAGAGTGTCGATTCCACTTTCTGGATAAAAATCACACTCACTCCACATGTAATAAGGTAAATCTTTCTCGTCACCAATAAAAAAACATGCGATGTCAAGAAAGATTTGTTTTTCATTGTGCGACAAGTCTTTGTAGCTAATCTTCAATCTCTCTTGCAACACATTTTCAGTAGTAGAAACAATGCCTCTATATTCTTTCAATTTTTCTTCCCAAAATTCCCTCCCTCTATGAAACAAAAGTGACCCTATCACCTTGAGAGCTAAAGGAAGTCCAGCAGCAACTTCTACAAATTCGCCACATATTTCTGCATCTTCCTCTGGAGGATTGTTCATCCCAAAAGCATGTTTGCAAAAAAGTTGCAAGGAAAGATGTCGACTCATTTCTTCTGGTTCATAGAACTTGCATTCTGGAATAAAATTCAAAGCCCTCTTATACCTTGTCGTAAATATGAATCTACTTTCTGCGGAAAAATCACTTAATTTTCCTAGAATCTTATCGAACTCAAACTTGTCATCTATATCATCAAGGACAAGAAGCAATTTGTGCTTGGAAACCCTCTCTTTTATCATGTTTATTCCTTCACTAACACTTTTAACCTGATGATCAGCTTTCAAAATGGTAGAGATAATCCTATTCAGTAGAGATACAGCTCCGTCGCTCTTAGCTAGAGCTTCTCGTACATCCTCGAGATAACAACAACGATCAAATTTAGAACATATCTTGTTATAGACGGCTTTGGAAAGTGTAGTTTTACCTAGACCACCCATACCATGAATGCCAACGATAACTTTCTCGTCGGAAGACCCTAAATCCAATAACTCCATCACTTCCTCCACGGGAGTATCGATCCCCACTAACTCGTCGGTCACCAATGTGTACATACTCATCAAATGTGATTCAACTTTAGAAAGGACCTCGTCTACAATAGTGCCCTCGCTGTGGTATCAACAAAGGGTTTGTCAAACTACACTCAAGAGTAAGCAAGAAAATATAGTGAAGTAGTCACAAGAGTTTGTACTCAAGAGAGATCTAACTAGCAAGCAAGAAATGCAGTGAAGTAATCAAAAGAGAAATCTAACTAGTTATTACCTGCAAGATTCTGTAACATGCCATCCTTTCATTTGCCCGACCTCACGAAGTGCTTCCTTCCACTCTATCACGGTCTGCGGGCTATGTTTTTGGGCGTGCTGTTCAAACGCTTGCTGGTAAGAACCCTGTTGCTTTCTTACATCTCTTGGGTCAACAAAGTAGAAAATAGGGAGGATGATGTGTCCCTTCCCCTGCTTCCAGCACTCCACCATTTGAGCCAGCTCTGTAAGGCACCATTTGCTGGAAGCATACTGCTCGCTTAAGATAGGGATGTAGATCTTCGAATCCGGGATGGCGCGGACTAGGGAAGGCGCGATCCCTTCCCCCTTCTGAAGCTCTTCCTCGTCCCTGAACGTGCGGATCTTGGCACGAGCCAAGGAGGTGTAGAGATGACTGGCAAACTTGTTGCGAACATCGGGTCCCCTGAAGCTCATAAAAACCTCATAATCCCCTGCGGGAAGAGCAACAGACTGCGGCAGCGCAGAGGAAGAAGAAGCGGCAGCGGAGGATTCCATTTCTCGCTGCATCGATGATTCAAAGAAAGCAATCACGATTGATTCGAAAGACAGCTACAAAGGAAAGGTTTGATTCGCTCTAGACGATGACATACGAAACGAAAAAAGGTTTGAATGTTCCGGGGACAGGGGGGTGGACAGACGCACCCGCAGTTGGAGGAGCCAATTCTCCTGAGGAAGATGATGCAGGGATCAGGTGCTTGGTTAGCTAGCTTCACTCGGCTTTTCAAGAGTTTGAATGATGACAAGAAGCGAATGAAGGAAGGGCGCATGAAGCTGCTGCGAAGAACTCTGACTAGTTGCTAGCTAGCGCGGGAGAGCAAATGAATGGTGAATTATGCAGTTTCATAGAAAATGGGTCTGTATGTTTTGTGGCCATGATTGTCTTATCTCCATTCTTTCGTTTCATCGAGCGCCTTTAGACTTTTCGTTGCCGTTGACGTGTACGTTGACGTTGACGCTACCGACACATTTACTGGGCTTGACTCTTGATATCGATTTTCTCTGGACTGGACTATGCTTACGGTATACTGGGCCTCTTTATGTTTTAGCCCAAATCATTAGTTATAAAACAGAGCAAGGACCAACCCATTACCCTACAATGTGGCAACCATGATCGATTTGCAACAAAACACACAAGACTATTCAACACATACATTAACCACAATACATCTATCGCCGCCACCATGAGACTTCAGGATCGAGGTTTTCCAGCACTCCAAGTTTTTCCCGGTCATTGAGGATTTCTGTAAGGCCGTTATTGGCGCCGGTCCCATCGGCGGCAGCGGCGTCCGAGCTCCGCAGCCGCCTCATCATCATTCCGGTTGATCGTAAATTGTACTCCGTAGGTTTCTGTTTGTCTATGTTATGTATTGGCTTTCCATTAGCCAGACAGAGAAGTTGATTCGGAGAACTGATTAGGAGGTTAACTTTAATTAATAAACTATGAAAAGAGGAAGAAAAATATTGTGTAATCCCACTACTACTTGTACATAGTTGAAGTTTGATGAATTATAATATATATTTGTATCCTTTTTAAATTACTTCACTTTGGATATTTATAGCTCTTTATAAGTATAGATGGTCTTGAAATGCGATTTTAATCGTAATTTAATCGATTGGATGATAATTTTACAAATATGAACAGATACATGCCGCTAATTGTCGACGGCCACGATAGATTGATGTCAGTTTGTAGTTTGTACTAATGATAAATCTTGCCTATGATTTATTTATGAATTCCTTTGAATTTTTTTTTCTTTTTTGCACAATTTCCCCCCCAAAATTCATAAAAACTATAAGCAGGCCTGTAGAAAGTGGTCTTTGCGCTCCAGCCCAGCGAAGCTCTTTGCATTCATTGCTGGGCTTGTTTAGTAGGGCCGAGCCCACAAGTATGGGCTCATCTTTTTGGCCCAATAGATTTTTCTTAGTTTCTCAGAAATTACAGGTAGGGGGAAATCAGAACAAAGGAAAGCCATGGGAGCAAAAGATTCGTTTGTTATCCACTGATTGATATCCTTATCAGAGCATGAGAGCAATAAATGGTCGCCACATACTTCGCCAACCAGAAACAAAAAAAAAAACCCAAATGGCCACAACTTAAAGTGATCTCTTTTCCGCTTCAAATTCAGAGGCAGAGGGCCCTGTTTAGTTAGGAAGGAGGAGAAATGGAAGCAGCAGCAATAGCAGGAGGAGGACAGTGTTTACAGTACAACTACTGCAGCTCAGCAAAGCCATCTCTTGTTGCTGCAACAACTTCTCCTTCTTCTTCTTCTTCTTCATCCATCCCTTTCAGAAACAACAGTAGCAACAGCTGCTTGAAAGGCCTCAAATTAAGATCAAAGAATCAGCTTCTGCAGCAGAGTATTACTACTACTGGGTTCCCTCGTCATGTAGTTCAAGCTTCTTCAGCAGCTGAAACCACATCCACAACTACTGCTACTGTTCAAGAAAGATGGATTCTTGTTCCTGTTGGTCGGTCCATTTTGTCCCCTTTGTCTCTTGTCCATGTTCTTCTACCGAGATAACTCTTTAACGGGTGAAGTGGGTGGTGTTGTATTGATCATTGCAGGAGATGGGGATTCAAGTCACATTGGATTTGAGGTTAAGATGCCCGGCGCCTTTGAAATTGCCTCGGTGAGTAGTAGTAACCCTTTTCTTTTTAGGTTCTTGACGTGGTATTAGAGCCTTTTACGATAGAGATGTCTCTGTTCGAATCCTGGTGACTTAGCTTCATTTGTTAAGCAGATGGTATTTGTACCTTTGTAAAATTCAAACCCGTATTAGGATGCTTTTGATTGAGTGGATGTGTTAGTAAGTAAAATATGACTCATAATTAAATTTCTCTCAACAACTCGAGTTAGTGGTATCAACTGGTTCTTGACCGTATCTTACATTTTGCCATCATAGAATCATTGATGATGAAGGAAAGGGAAACTTGGTCACTTCACTATCTTTGTATCAGAACCTTACAGTGTGATTAACTTGTGGCAGAATGAGGTGACAGTCGGGCGTGTTCCTGAGAAAGCTGACATGGTGATCCCAGTTGCTACAGGTAAGAATCAAAACCATTTCGAAATTCACTTAAAACAAGAATTAAGAACACACTGTGGATTAATGGATTAGTTGAACAATTTTTTGTCATGAAAAAGTGTCTGGAGTGCACGCTAGAATCCAGAAGAAAGGAGGGAACCTGTTGGTGACGGATCTGAACAGCACCAACGGCACTTTCATCGGCGAAAAGCGCCTCCGTCCTGGCGTCGCTTACACTCTCGCTTCCGGCGACGTCGTCATCTTCGGTACACTTTTTGATATCCTGACTCCCGCGAGTTTGTTACTTCAAAATAAATCAAATGATGTATCATTCTGTTAAATACGTGAACAACAATGGATGGCAGGGGACATTAACCTGGCAATGTTCAGAGCTTCGAAATTGGAGAACGTGGAAGTTGCTTCTAATGGCTCGCCGGCCGACGAAGAAGAAGCAGTTGCAGAGCCTGAGAAGTCGTCGGAATCTACTAGTAGTTAGACTTGTATCAAGGATTCAATATAATTCGGTTCTGATCTAGTCAATTTATTTGCTTCCGATGATATAAACTACAACGAAAATTCTATGCATAATGACGAAAATGAAATCAATCTGATTCGACCCAACGTCGATTTTCGGTACAATATGTTTGTAAGAAGAACTTCAATAGTAAGGATTATAGTGCATGTCTCTCCATGTTTATTGTATAATGGGGTGTGTGAGATCCATTACCTTGCAATCAAAGCAAGAAAGTATCATTACCTTGCCTAAGAAGTAAGAAGGCATACTTTAGCTATAGCTTGTTTGGGCCTAAGCCTAGCCTTACAGGCCCAATCAATGGTCCACCTAACTAACAACCTTCGTTACGGGCCCAGTAGTTCCTATTGGTTTTCAACGACTGCGAGCTGAATCTTCCATTCGTCGTCAGAAAAGAAACACATCACCACTTTCACGCCATTTCCCTCCGTAAAGGAACTCGCTTTTCCCCTCTCCGATGGACGCCTTGCAGTCCCGCCGAACCGAAGCGATAAGCATCGCCGTCGCCGTTGTCGCCATCGGTGCCGGCACCGCCTACTATCTCTACATCACCAGGAAACCCAAGCCGAAAGGTGAAAAGGTCCTTCCTTTCTTCATCCTTATTTTTGGATGTGAACGAATTCATGTATGATCGTCGACCGTGATCGAGACTTAGTTGCAATGCTTTTCTGGGTTTTCCTGGCATTTCGTGGGGAAAATTTTTCGCCCATTGTATCGCTTGTTTTGTTGCTGTTAACTGGGAATTGATACATGGGTATGCTTTACTTTTTTCTCATTTCTTGCAATTTGGCATCAGACTCCCAGAGATTTTTCAAGGTACCAAAATGTTTCCTTTTGTTGTATCTTCCATGTTTTGCTCGCCATTGGTGTGATTTTTTTGTTTTTTTGTTTTGAAATAGTTTGGGAAGCATCCGTTGCTAGTGGAGCTCGTTTTGTTTGGTATGTTTTCTGCTGACACATCGCCTTTTCGTGGGCAGCAGCCTGCCTGGATCCTGAGAATTTCAAGGAATTCAAGCTTGTTAAGCGCACCCAACTCAGCCATAATGTGGCCAAGTTTCGGTTTGAGCTCCCAACACCTGATTCAGTTCTGGGATTGCCAATTGGACAGCACATGAGTTGCAGGTTTGTTTAGTTTCCCATGTACTTTCTGTTTGATTCCCTTCCACAAGTGATGAGTTGTTCTATTAGGTAAGAGTTAGATTTCCTTTTGTCGATGTACCGTATGTTTCTTAAATTACGAACTGTGTGTACAAACAGGGGAAAGGACAGCGTGGGGGAAGATGTTGTGAAGCCATATACTCCCACAACTTTGGACTCTGATGTCGGCTACTTTGAATTAGTTATAAAGGTAGTCTCTAAACTGGAAGTATTTTCTATGGCTTTGGTTCATTGGCATTGCCTTTGTTCTGTATTCCGTTCCTGATTCTAGAGTCGTATGAACAACAGATGTATCCACAAGGGCGAATGTCTCACCACTTCCGAGAATTGCAGGAAGGTGATTACTTGGCTGTGAAAGGGCCCAAGGTAAATGATCTCTCCATTCCTCTTGATGAAGGTTTCAGTGCACTGGCATGGATTTCCTCTTCAATAAGTTGCTTAGTTTTCCCCGTGACTAAGCTACAACATGATTATCGTCAAGTCTCATTCGAGTTGCATTGGCGTTTCTATGTACCCTGATAAGCCGTTGTGGACCCTTATGTGTGGATGCTGTGTTGACTGGATCCTGATATAAGTATTGCCATTTTGAATGCTCCTGATACACTACTTAAACTGGACATTTGATCAGTGAAGCATAATAGCATGCCTTATGATGTTTTACGAATGTCTAAATAGTAAACATAAAGGGTTTTAACATTCTTGAACTGCCAGGGGCGCTTCAAATACCAACCCAACCAAGTGAAAACATTCGGAATGCTAGCTGGAGGCACTGGCATTACCCCTATGTTCCAAGTATGCTTTTCCAGATTCTGTCTGATTCTCGAGTATTTGGATTGTTGAAGGCCTTGGCTCTTATTGCTCAATTTTTCTCTAATCTCCAAAGGTTGCCAGAGCCATCATGGAGAACCCTAAGGACAAAACCAACGTAAGTCTCATATATGCCAACGTCACGTTTGAGGACATCCTTTTGAAGGTACGCCTCTCTTTCTCTCTCTCTTTCTCTCACCATATCATGTTTGTGTCACTTTCAGAAGGTGCATGTTTAGTTTGTACTATATCTGGTTTTTCATTTTGCAGGAAGAGCTAGATAATCTTGCCAAAAGTTTCCCCGGCCGCTTCAAAGTGTACTATGTTCTGAACCAGGTATTTGCTCCTGAGAAGTAATAATCTCTATTCTTTCCTGCGTCATCATCATGTTCTTTCAGAAAAGTATATTCACGTACATACACTCAACTGCAAATGAAACTTAGTTCCGCGAATATCCCTTTCCTATCTTCTTCCTTACGTCAATATGAATCTGTGTTTGCAGCCACCAGAAGGTTGGGATGGCGGCGTTGGATATGTAACTGCAGATATGATTAAAGAACACTGCCCTCCACCAACAGCAGACGTTCAGGTGACTTGCCTCCCCGTCACATTTCCATTCCTTTTCTTTCCCTCGCGTTTCTCAGTTTAATAAACCGGTTTCTCGTTGTTCTGACCCTGTAGATGTTGAGGTGTGGCCCTCCACCAATGAACAAGGCAATGGCAGCTCACCTGGACGCTCTCGGATTCACTCCCCAAATGCAGTTCCAGTTTTGAGAAAAGCTCTTGGAGATGAGCTTTTCTTCTGGTTACCATAGAACAATTGATTGACTGCCAGGGTGGGACACTACGGTTTATCTCATCTCTTGGCTTATGAGACCAGTTGCAGAACTTCTAAACAGATGCAGCTGATTATTATACTATGAATAGTGGGCATCCTATTGTTAAACCCCACTTTAAAACTAGATTATACACATTCTTAGAACGGTAATTATACACCAATGTCCGATCTAAAGAGATACAGAAATGCTATTGCAGTATTGCCTGTTAATAATTATATGTAGGCAGGCAATTGTGCTGAATTGGACAGCACTTCATTGATTGTATGATTAAGTTGATGGGGTTAAAGACACATTTGGTCACTGAGATTACAAAATCGGGACATGTTTAGTCACTAGAAAAATTTAATATCAAATTTGGTCACTACAATTACTAAAACTGGACGCATTTAGTCACTCGCCGTTAGTCTTCGTCCAACTCCGTTAGTCTTCGTCCAACTCCGTTAATGAAGTCCGTTAAGTGCTGATGTGGCAAACAGAATTGCCTAATCAGCCGGATATTAACCCAACAAAAATAAAACCCGACCCGCCACGTCATTATAACCCGCCACCTCATTAAAACCAACCCAACCCAACCCAACCCATCACCCAACCCTACCCAACCCTTCTTCCTCCTTCCTCCCCAACCCAATTTAGGGTTTTCCCCATTAATCTGCCGGCCGCCCTTCCTTCATCTTCTTGAGGAATGTGGCGGTGCCGGCTCGGAGCTCGGTGGTGAAGATTCAGGAAGCTACTCTTGCTCTCCTTCTTCTTCTTCTTGTTCACCTCCCCCTCTTCCTCTCTGCCTCTTGATTTCCTCCGACGCCGATTCAAGCTTCGAGGTGCGTGAAATCTTGGTCTTTTTCGATTCATCTGGTTCTGTTCCACGGATTCGGACTCGGTATGCTTTCATGTTCGATTTCCTTGTTTCCCCGTTATGCTATTTCAATTACTCTGCGGAACGATTGAAGTTTTTCTGAGTCTTGATGAAATCCCCCTCGATTGGGTTTCATCGCTGATACGGTGGAGAGGGGTTTTGATTGAGGGAGGAGGCGATTTTTCATTTTCTGCAACTTACTGTGTTTTAGGGTTTAATCGAGCTTGGAGAACTAAGCGTTGTGGGTGTGTGCTTGTTTTCCGTTGTGTGTTTGAGCAGAGGATCGTCCGCGATGGATGAAGATAAAGGGATGTTCAATGTCCAACAGACGATTGGTACGGTGCTCTGCTGCAGATGCGGCATCAGAATGCAGCCGAACGCGGCCAACATGTGCGTGAGGTGCCTTCGATCGGATGCCGGCCGCCTGCGCGGCGAGGGTTTTCCAATTGACGAGGGAATTGGGTCACAAATCGGACGGGGAGACGATCGAGTGGCTGCTGCAGCAGGCGGAGCCGGCGATTATCGCGGCGACGGGGACGGGCACCATCCCGGCCAATTTCTCCACCCTGAATGTCTCGCTGCGGAGCAGCGGATCAACTCTCTCCGCTCCGCCGTCGAAATCGGCGCCGCTGCATTCGTTTCACGGGGCGCTTGCTCTGGCGGCGGCGCAGCAGCAGCATTACGAGGAACGGTTTTCCGCCGCGCATCTGGGATTCCACCACCACCAGCAGCATATGTTGTCGTCGGCGGATCAAATCGCGGAGGCTCTGCCGAGCGCCAGCGGCGGAGATAGCGGCGGCGGTGGAGCGGCGAATTCAGGGGAGAATTACCGGAAAAGATTCAGGGAGGATTTGTTCAAGGATGAAAATCAACAGGGCGGAGAGAGTGGCGACGGCGGCAGGGGATCTCCGAATAGAATCCCTAAATTGGGTTGGGGAGGAAGGAGGAAGAAGGGTTGGGTAGGGTTGGGTGATGGGTTGGGTTGGGTTGGGTTGGTTTTAATGAGGTGGCGGGTAATAATGACGTGGCGGGTCGGGTTTTATTTTTGTTGGGTTAATATCCGGCTGATTAGGCAATTCTGTTTGCCACATCAGCACTTAACGGACTTCATTAACGGAGTTGGACGGAGACTAACGGCGAGTGACTAAATGCGTCCAGTTTTAGTAATTGTAGTGACCAAATTTGATATTAAATTTTTCTAGTGACTAAACATGTCCCGATTTTGTAATCTCAGTGACCAAATGTGTCTTTAACCCTAAGTTGATGTTAAGAAAAGTGACCCTCTTGATACTGATTAGCAGAAAGTTTCTGCAAATGGTTTGAGCAAAGCAGTTGCGATGAGAAAGGGACCACTGCCACTACTTGCATACTGAACATCGACAAAAATTCGAATTAGTAACCTTAAGTCGGTTCAAAATACATCCCAAGCAAAACTCAGATGGCATAAGATCTCAGAAGAAATGATGACGAAAAACAAACAGGTGATGCTGTCACTTAAGTTTATGGTACGCTGATCTGATCCATAACACAATGATACAAACTGGAAAGCCTGCAGCTAATCGACGAAGAAACTAGTACACAACAAAAAAAAGGAAAACAAGGAACAAAATTCATCTGGGATTGCAAGCTAATCACCGCCTTCTCATTCCCCGTCCCCTACCTCCTCGGAAAGCTCCTCCACGCCCTCGACCACCCATGGCGGCAGCATCTCCTTGAGCACTCTCAGACTGTGCCATCAAACACGAGAACCGATAACAGCATTAAGTTACAAGATGCACTAATTGCTTGAAAATTCACCAAGGATGCACTTATTTGGCTACTAAAGAATACACGCAAATCCACCAAGGATGCACTAATTGCTTGAAAATTTGGCTACTAGAGAATACACACAAAGTGATGAGGCTAATGATTCAAGGTACAAGAGCAAAACCGAGTACCAATGACAGGACCCTACAAGTTCAGTTGCAGTATGAGATTTTTTTTTTTTTTTTTTGGCTGGTTGAAAGATACTATGAAGTTCAAGGTTTTACTCTATGGCATCTTTTAAGGGTAGGGCAAACCAATGGTGCATTGCCTACAGGCTTCAGTCACTTGTAGTTGACTGCTCAGTACTCCCATTCTTGGTTCAAACGTTAAAAAAAACTTTGGGGTTGAACAATGTCCAGAAGACAGTATCAGAAGCACAGTAAGAAAGATCAGATAAGATTTTCACCTTTGGGTTCTTGACAGTCTCGTCGACACTTAGAACAAGACAAGCAGCTTCGGTAGCAGCATTAATAGCATTAATCTGCAACAATGTATCATGCATGTACAAGTGTCAGCACAGAGATCGTAGAAAACAGAAAGAAGTAACCGGCCCAAGTAAATAATGAGGGCTCGCCTTGACTACAGCTGGCTCCCAGACAAAGTTTGCAAATGAATCAGCAATGCCGCCAGTGTTGATGTCCACCCCGTAAGGAGCACCCTCACCTATAGAAAGCCAAAAAATGTTAACACTAAACAGTGATGTTTTATGCATTCAATTAGGTTGAGGAAGAATTACAATAGTATAAAGCCTACCAGATGCATGAGCGTGCTTCTGTCTCAATTTGTTCAGCACATCAGTAGCATCAAACCCCGCATTGTCGCACAGTTGCCGAGGGATAATCTACAAAAGGAAAAATGCCAAGCCATTAGCAGGGCATCGTTGAGGACACATAATAAATAGATATCAAATGTTTTACAGAACTTTCTAATGAAATACTAGACAACCAGATCTACTCTACGACACAAGACTTTTGTAAATCCAGCCGTTGGGACAAAAAAATCTGACGAAACTATCCTGTCATTTGCAAATTTACAATGTAGTTATTATAAGAAAAAAGCTTGAGGTCTGGTAAGTAAACCTCAGGAAGTCATTGTAGCAAGAATCTACCTTTCTTACTATAATACCTTCCTGATTAGTTAAAAGCCAATCTTTAACTCAACAAGATCGAGCTCTAGTAGGTCTAGGGACACGAGGACCCCTCGCATTTGAAGGCTATACAGTAAAGGAGCTAGCGCCTAGCAGCATACTACATTGTCATGTTTCTCTCAAAATTACCGATTTGAAAAAAATATAAGTTGGCCCAGGAAAATATTATAACTTGAAAATAAGACATGACTGCCTACACCTTCAGAACTCAATAGAACAAGGACTGAATACCTCGAACCTACCTCTAGAGCTTTGGCATATGAATTGATGAAGAGCTGAGACTTTCCAAGAATGCTGCGAGCATGCTGCCTCAGGTAGCGGCTTATCTCCATCTGAAACAAAAACAGGAGGTTTCATCCTTAAGACACTAACAAACAAGAACATCCACAAAACTGATTGAATGAGTTACAATAAGCCACGTACATCTATAGCTCCACCACCAGCCACCACTGTTGAGTTCTTCAGAGCCCTTCGGACTATCATGATTGCATCATGTAAACTCCTTTCAGCTTCCTCAATGAACTGAAAATATGAACAAAAGGAGTCCAAGAAAACTGAGTCTCAAAATAAGAAACAGCTGAATAGCATAACATTTATTAATTGCATCAACAAATTATAACCTGATCGGCACCACCACGCAGAACTATAGTTGCGGTTCTTCCAGAAGGACATCCACTGAATATATTAAATCGCTCATTTCCAACTTGCTTTTCCTCGAACACCTCACAAGTCCCAAGAACCTTGTACCATAAGAATCACTTTCAGTTGCTTACCAAGAACAAGCCAAATGCCTACAAGTGTATCTACAGCGATAAAGTTAATATTATAATCCCAAGAATACAGTATGCAAGTTCTCACCTCGTCAATCACATTGTTGACGGTAGTTTGAACAGTTCCACCAGATGCTGCAGCAACCCTCTGAAGATCTTCTTCAGCTACACGTCCAGCACAGAAGATATCCCGGTCGGCAAAGTACTGAATTAAGGAGTTTGTTAATGACGGAGTTAAACCAGAGAAAGGAATTAATGAGCAATTTCCTAACATATTATTAGATGCAACCAAAATTGAAATGGTAATAGTATCTCCCGTCAAAACAAAACTTAAGCTCATTGACAAAGATAATTACAAGGATTCAGGATACCGCCACACCGGTATTAAAGAAAGAAAAATAACTATCCAAATGCATGCCAAAAGAACAACGGTTTGCAGCTGACAAGTATGTTTCCAACAGAAAATTATTGCCAATTCTATAAATTATAAAAGAACAGAAAAATATTGAGAAAGAAAAACAACATTAAACTACATTTTAAGGAAATAGTAAATCCCACCTGTGTTGCTAGATCACCAATAGCCAAACGTGAGAGGACCACTTTGGCACCACTTTGTACACATTTATCCAATTTTTCATATATGATATTCCACTCCGCATCAACAATTGACTGATACTGTGATGGATCAGAGAGCCTGTAGCAAATTATGGAAGATCAGACTCACAAGTCATATATATCAAATTCTATCACCGAAGAAAAACAATCCAGGAAGATTATGCAAGAAGAATCAACCTTATCTCTGCATTTTCTTTCTCAGATTTCAGTTCTAATTCAATGTTGAGTAACAAGATCTTTGGATTCAGAAACTTCTTAGGTTGCTGTTCAAAACCAGCATAAGAAAATGTCTTCTTAAAGGCAACACCATCAACTAGAAATGAATCGCGCATATTACCACCTGGAACCTGTGACATAACGACATATACAAACACAATCAGGACCCACAGTGAAATATACAGACAGAAAAATAATGGTTTAAATTCAACCCTGAACCACAGCAATAATACAAGCCTAATATGTGGCAATGTCTAACATAAACTTGGCTACTCTTCACCACTTGGTGGTCAAATACAGGCAACACAATTGCTGAATTTGAACCACATATGATTCTTGTACAACATTTCAGCTTATAAGGCAAGGGATGAGAATAAGTACCACAGATCAACAAACAGAATTCCCCTAATGCATGTCACAGATTTCACATCATATAATAACCCTCATAAAATATGCAGAACAGACACATTTTCCATTTTCTTCTCTTTTTCTCAAGTATATAGATGGAAGTGCATAGACTTCAACAATCAGCTACAGGTATATCAATAAACTATTATGAGCTCTAAAGCAGAAAACAGCTAATTGAGTTAAACATCATCTTTAAATAGAACACATCAACTATTTTGCATTACCAACTCATCGACGCTAATCAAGCCCAAGCTCTTACCTTCTTTATTCCTATCATGTTTAGCCTATCATCGGTTCCAATCGCAATGACAGCATTCACAACCATCGTTGCAAAGAACTCCTTCTCTCCACCTATGAGCTTCGAATTCAGCGTTGTTTGAGCACATTTAGAAAGTAAGCTTTTCTTTTCTTCCAGACTCTTCCCTTCTATGCTGGTCGCTAAACTTTTGACCTTGTCGATGGCCTAGCATTTCAAACAGCTAAGTAAGTAGAAAATACAAAGATTAGCATTGAAAGGATGATATACTGTAGACAAATATTTGATGTCACACACCAAATTGCAGGCCGTTCTATAACTACGTATCAGATTTTGTGGGTGGACTCCATCTTCGATAAAAGGTTTGGCCTCCCTTAAAAATTCTGCTGCTAAAAGAACCACTGTTGTGGTACCGTCACCAACCTGGAGCGCAAAGAAATAAAAAGGAATAGAAAAGTTACCAGTTAAAACATTGACAGCCGAATTAGCTGGATAAAAAACCTTGTTCGGATACTAAGCTCAGCAAAGCCAAGCACCAAATTGGTTTGTACTTTTCCATGGAAGATAAATAGCTCATCAATCTATTTATGAAAACAACCATTTTGGCAAAAGATTGCCTCACGGATCATGCAATCAAGCCCTGTAATAGAAATATGTTACCTTGCTGCAGCTATCACTATAAGCCGCACCTGGAACAATTTACCCCAAATCGCTAGCAGAAACCATCATGGCCAAAGACACAAGATTGAGGCATTCTGTAGAGGGGGAAAATGTATGCCCACCTTGTTTGTCTATGCATAAGACCATTCAGAGGAACAGGGAGAGAAATCTTACAACGAGCACTTTCCGTATATCTATCATAAGCTCAAGATCTGTTTTTGCCACTAGGAAAGCCACAGAAACACATAAAACGCCATGTCTAATCCGTCACTAATCCATTATTCAAACCCCCTCAAAACAACAATGTCACATCAGTTTGAAGTGTTTCATGCTCTAATGCTACCTAATTAAGCAATACCAAGTTGAAACCAAAACTTGCATCGGGGAACGAATTCAACGCCCAGCTCCTCCTCCATACAGCATCAAAACAACACTATTCGCATCGTAACATGACTTACTTCCACATCTATACCAACAAAACAGAGAAAGCAAAGCAAACAGCGCACCTCTGAATCCTGGGACTTGGCAATGTCGACGAGGATCTTAGCAGCAGGATGGACGATATCAAGCAGCTTCATGATAGTAGCCCCATCGTTCGAAATGGTGACGCTCCCATTGGCATCATGGATCAACTTGTCCATCCCTCTGGGGCCGAGGGTCGTCCTGACTACATCGGCGACTGCGGTGCAGGCGTTGATGTTGCTGACGAGCTGCGCCTTCCCTTGGGAAGTGTCCGTACCTTCCTTCAAGAGTATGATCTGCGGTTGCTGCTCGTCGCCATTTCACACCAAACGGAGATGCAGAGGGAACAGAGTCAGTAAGCTCGATTTGGGGGAACACGAGCAGTTTGAGAATGGGAAGGAGATATACTTACCATCATGGACGCCATTGCTGGCGCGAACTAAACTAGGGTTGCGATGAACGGAACTGGAGACCGCCAATGAAGTACGGAGAGTCGAGAAAGACAGTACGGAGGAAGAAAATGGCTGGTTTAGGGTTTTTCGCGCTGCTGCGTCGCTTGCTCTCTGCTCACTGCTCAGTGAGTTTTGATGTCTTCTAGTTCTTTCGAATTTCTCCAATTGACGGGTCGGTCTGGATCATAACCGAACCAAATTTAGAATGGACCGGACAAACCGTCCGGGAGACCAGTTGCGCCGTTAAATGATCTTTTAAATGGGCCGGAGGCCCAGAGCGAAGCGAGTTGCTTAGAAGTTAAACCTAACGTGCCGTTTGGAGCTACCGTCTTTTTAACTTTTAACAAATTAGTACCTATACTATATTCTCTTCCAGAACAAGTCCGCATACAATGTCACCGTTAAGAAACTAGTCCTTCCATTCATCATTCTGCCAAAAGGAAAGTTTACAAACTAGAAACAACTCCGGCGTCTCTATCCTTTCTCAGACGAACCGATTAAGAAGCTCCGCCTCGCCGCCGTAACCACGGGCCCGGCCAACAATCCGGCACCGGATCAAGCTCCCGATCGTCCCCGCAAACATCCTCAGATCCTCCCACCCATTCCTCTCCGCCAATCTCTTGTACAGATAGCTATCGAACGTCATCCTCTGCACGTACTCGTCGCCGCAGAGCTCGACCAGCGCCTCCCTCGCCGCGTTGCTGCTGTAGAAAACCCGCTGCAGCCCGTCGAGAAACCTGAATGTCGTCGCGAACTCGCCATCCCACTGCTGGAGATACTCCCTTCTCAGATCCGCCTCTCCGATTGCCTTCTCGCCTCCTTCCGACGCCTTCACGATCGCCTCGCCGCACATCCGGCCGGATCTGGCGGCAAAGTAGATCCCTTCGCCGGAGCACTTCGTCACGTAGCCGGCGGCGTCGCCGACGAGCGCCACGCGGCCGCGGACCCGGGTCGGGCGCGGGTGCTCCGGAATCGGGTGGGCCTCGACCCGGATAACTCTGCCTCCGGAGATCTTTTGGCGCACCCGCTGCCGGATTCCTTGTTGGTACAGTTTGATGCTCTGCTTCGAGCTGACAGTCCCTGTGCCCACCGCCACGTGGTCGCATTTGGGGAAAACCCAAGCGTAGAAGTCGGGGGACACGTCATCGCCGACGTACATCTCGGCGAGATCTCGGTAGTACTCCATTTTGTCGTCGGGGAGGCGGATTCGCTCCTGGAACGCCATCGCGACCGCGTAGTCGCCGGCGTTAATCGACTTCGCGACTCGGCTGTTGGCGCCGTCGGCGCCAACCACGGCGTCGACGGCCAAGGTGCGGATCTGGCCGTTCAAGTTGTGGTGGATGAGGTAGGGCTCGGCGGCGGAGGAAGGGACGTCGAGGCGGGTGACGAGAGCGGGGACCAATTGAGCTCCGGCGGATTCGGCGCGGGAGCGGAGGAAAGAATCGAGGACCTCGCGGCGGAGCATCGGTATGTACTCGTGGGGTTTTAGCGTCTTGGAGCCGAAATCGACGGTGAGATTGGAAGGGGAGACGATCTTCATCCGGGTGACGCGGCGGTCGACTAAGTGAAGAGGGATGGCGAATTCGTCGAGCATGCAGAGCGGGATGGCTCCGCCGCAGGGCTTCGGAGTTTTGGTGTTGTTGCGCTCGAAGAGGAAAGTCTCGATTCCGCCGGCGGCGAGGGCCTCGGCGGCAGAGGAGCCTGCTGGTCCTCCCCCGATGACGGCGACGCGGAGCTTTCTGCCGGTGATGGGGGCATTGGAGGCGGCGGTGATGGTGAGGGGACGGATTCGATTGGAAGGCCTGCGGTGGGGAGGTTTCTGGAGGGGATTGAAGAGGAGAGAGTGAGCTTGAGCAGCAGCAGCCATGGATGGAATGTGGAGAGTGGAGACTGGAGAAAGGATTGAGGTAGTTTGGTGGGTTAGTTCTTGATTAACCAGAGTGATTAGTGGAAGTCCAGTGATTAGATTAGCCTAACTTTGTGGTTGCTGCTTTCCTCTTTGTCTTTCTTTTCAGCTTTATGTGAATAAACATATTTAATTAGTGGGATTATCATTTTTAATGGAGTTTTGTCCTCTGTTTTTGGCCAATTTCGATAAGAGCGTGGTTGTTTATTTTAGTCTAATAACAACAAAATCTAGAACAGAACAGCAATTAATTCTGATATTTTCCGTGATGTAATTAATCAATTAATTCATGCTGCAGTGGCGGCAGCTGGTGGTGGTGTTGGTCGCCGGATGAGGGATTTTCTTCTTTATCCCTAACGCCGTCGGCGTTCCCCGGCGAGTCCTTCCTTCTCCGGTATTATCTGCTATTTCCTTTATCACGGCAAGGAGTCAGAGATCGGAAGAAAACCCTTTTCCTTCCGTCCCCGACCAACACTATTTCATTGGTCCGATGATGAATAGTGAGTAACTAATTCAACTACTCGACTAAATGATTCCCCTGTTTCGGCCATCGCTGCGTTCTCTCTGGAAAACAGAGGCTCTCCTCTGTTCTAGCAGCATTTCATGATCAGATGAATAATGGGTTAACCGCCGGGGTTCATCCCCGACGAGACATGGACGGGAATGTGGAGAAATGATTAAAGGAGTTTGGTGGGTTCTGATTAATCAGAGTGATCAATGTAGTAATTGAAGTTCCAGTGATTCAGAAAGTAAAGATGAAATCTCCAATTTACTTGATTCAGGGCACATGAGGAGGAAGTAATGAAGTCTCAACCAAGTTCTTCACTGCCGTGGGATGGCAAATGCTGGTTGCAGCAGAGTGTTCCTGATCAACAGACCAAGCCGAATCGGCAAGAACCGAGTTGACTCGCTGCGTAGGATTGTACAGATCCCACCATACATGCGGTGAAGAAGATAAGTTGCAGGCCATCTCCTCCGACAGGCAACCAATCACCACGCCGTGCATCCCCAATCCACAGCACGCATTCTCCGTGTCTTCAAATCCTGTCAGTTGAATTCGTCGAATTCGTAACAGGTTGAATTCGTAACATAACGTTTCAATCGGTATAACTTGCTCGTGTACAATGCCACGATTTCACTAGGTAATGAAGCACACACATAAACCAGTCACACACATTACCATATTTTGCAGGATTGGCAAGAATCTCCATGACACCAAGGTAAACATCACAGAACACCATCTCAGCATCAAACAATTCCTTCTGAAGCTCCACAATCCCATCGCCCAACATCTTGTTATACTCCAAGACCAGTTCATTCACCTCCTCAACGCAACCATCAGCCATCCCACTTCCATTCTTCTCGCCACCTAGCTCCCAAACCGTCTTTGGGGCGCACCCAACGGGCAAAATCCCCATACAGATGATCTTCCTCACGTTCCCTTCGTACAGCCTCCTCACCACCATCACCACCTGGTGCACCAAAACCTCGGCGAACTCCCTGCTCCTCGTCGTCCTCGTGGTGTTCTCGGCCAGGAAGATGTCCACGTAGTCGTCTTTCCCGAAGGAGAGGTAAAAGATGGATGAGTTGATGAACGTTTGTGCAGAGTCCTGGCCCAGGTGGAGGTCGAGGAGCTGGAACGTCTCGAAGACTTGGCGGAGTTGCTGGGTGAGGCATTGGTGGCTCTGGCTGTCTATGTTCATGATGGTTGCACCTGCTGACCCGTAGTTTATTCCGCTGGTTAGCTGTTGTATGGTCCCGTTCTGTCTGTAGAATGGCAGGGGACGGTTTGAGAGTCCCATCTTCTCAGCTGCAGAAAAAGGTTAACAAAGATGGTTTACCAAAACTATGGAGGTTTGTGTTCATTGAGATTGTAACTTAAGCTAACAGTTATAACATCAAGCCTATTGAACTAAGTGTTCCGAGGCAGGAAAGATAGTCATTTTGTGTCTTATATTTGCAGTTAGTTCACTCTCAACTCACAAGCAAATCCAGGTTGAGAGACTAACATTCACCTATCCTACTAAATCATGGCGAAAGAAGAGTTCTCAGTTCTTACCGAGGAGGTAAGGGAGGAGAGAAGTCTGGGAGCCTTGGCAGGGGAGGAGAGAGAGGTTTCTATGGAGGAGAGGGTAAAAGAGTGTGTTCTCTCCACAATCAACAGACGAATCTCCCATTATGAACATTGCAGACACACCAGAAGCAGATGTTGCTGCTTGAGCTCGAACAGCAACAAGAGCAAGAATCCAGAAGATGATCATGAATGCTGCAACTTCCTTTATCTATCCACCTAGTTTCTTATTCTCCTCCATGAAGGTGTGTAGAGACTGTTTCTTTCCTCTGCTTCTCGTTTCCTCCTGTTGGGGCTGCAGTAAAAGACTGTTCTACCTAGTTGGCTACCAAATTTGTAATGGAATGCTGATCTTGTGAATGGTCAATGGTGGTGAGTAAACGTGTGATTGATCTAACGAATCAATTATACAAACAGTCACTAAACTTTAGTGCCATTAACAATTAAGTCACTCATAACCACACAAGAACCAAGCAGAAAATATCGAGAAAAATGGCAGCAGGTTTTTATTGATCAGCAAATTGATCAAAGAGACAATAAAAAAAAAAAAAAAAATCTAACCCTACATAGATCACTACTGTGCCTGTATACCCATGAACTATACTTTATATGAAGCCATGTGAACTTCCCAATACATCCAATCATAACATTTTAACGGAATTTATAACTACAAAACAGAAAAATGAGTGCTTAAAAACAATTTGTGAATATCTTAGCACAAAGTAATGACTAAAATTGTCTCAATGGACTTTCTGCAGCAGCAGACCAGTTAACTGGTCTATGCCTTCAGCTTGCCACTCACCCCACGCTTACTATGCCACACAACATTGAGATCTCCATTCACCGAGTTCTTGCTAGCCGCAACTGAACACTGACCAGCTCGACTATTCTTACTCCCCATCTCAACCTGGATCTTTCGACGACGCATCCTTTGCTCAGACCGCATCCCTCTCAGTGCACGGACCCTCCGTTCTGTCTCAAGTGCATCGGAGAAGTTCCAGATCCTGACAACACCCTCTTCTCCTCCGCAGACAATGCGGTCAGCACCAATGTCAACCGAAAACAGGTCCGGCCCAAATCCGTGCAACATCCTCTGTGGAGGCTCCACAATGCTGCTCTCCACCACCTTTCTCGCTCTCAAAGAGAATTTGGCTCGTTTGGCCAATCTCAGCAGTTTCCTCACATCGATGAGCGCCATTTTCCCATCACCAGAAGACGAGACCAGCCAAGGGAACTCGAATGCCAGAGAGTAAACCGGACCAGAGTGAGCAACCCAAGAAGCGATTTTGGACGAGTCGGTATTACCCATCTCGTACATGTGTATTGCCCCATCTTCTCCTCCGGTGAAAAGAAGGTCCCCCATGTGACTTCGAGCGATAGCAAAAACATTCCCAGCATGAGCCTGAGTGACGACATTTAGTAAAGTCCCTCGACGAGTATCCCATACATATACATCTGAACCAGATGCAGCTGCAACGGTGGTACCTTGAGGAACAAGGCTCCAAACCCAGTCTTCATGACTCAAGACCTGCAAGCATTTCAGGGAAGATCGATCCCATACACGAATGTTCATGTCCCATGAACCACTATAGATTTTTGTAGGGTCCAAGGCGAGACAAGTAATGGGTCCGACATGCTCCCAAAGCCTGAACTCGGATGTGGGATCCTTGAGGTCGAACAAGTGTGGGAGACCTTCAACTGCCTTCCAACACTGGATGAATCCATCAGTACCACCCGCAACCAGTAGTTTCGAATCAGCCGAAACTGCTCGAATGGTGCATCCAAGGGACCGGGATGAAGCCAACGAGAGGCCGTTCTCCATGTCCCACATCTGTACAACTGAGTCATATCCAGAGGTGAAAATGAGCTTGGCGGAAGCCAACAGGAAAACTGTCCTAACAGCTTCCTTGTGACCATACAGAACATCGATGCTATAACGTCCCAAGAATGTTCTACTCCTGAACTCCCTCTCCACAAACAGCTCCTTCCAGTTCTTCTCATCTGAAAGAACTACTACTCCAGCAACCGGAGGAGGGACTAAAGGAAGTCCCCATCTTTCACAGTAGACTTCCTTCCAAACAGGATTCTCAGCTGCTAGCCTGTTCAATACCGTCGAGACGCAGGAAACCACACCAAGCTCCTTAGGGTCCAAGCAATTCAGGATTTCAGATATCAATGCTGGAGGAAGGTCGATGATTGAGCGACAAAAACCGGGCAGAACATTATCATCACCACAGGGAAACTCTTGTGCAACAACACTGCTTAATATCACGCTTCGAGAAGAGAAATTGAACTTGTGCTTTGAAACTGCAATGTCTCTAGGAGTAGAATTTTCTATGCAAGCTTGATTTTCTGTAACGTCAATGCTTGCTTGGCATTCAAATTCCATAAAAAGAATAGCTTTAACCTTGAAAAAGGAGAATCGAAAGGGCAAGCGACGAACCCCAAACCCGCGAAACTGGAAACTCGAAGGAAATCCACAAAAACCCCAGATGAGATCGCAGTCAAAGCTTCAAACTTTTGCAGAGATTTGAACGAACCCAACAACACCGAGTCGCCAAACACCCTGAAAACAAAGAGCCAAGATGCGATTACAACACGGAAAATCAAATTAGCCGAAATTGAACGAAACTCCGAAACAGGGGAACTTCGAAACTGAACAAAAAAGGAAGAGACTTTTTGCAACAAACCTTCACAGATCAATGAGCGATCGTCGATCCCCAAAAGAATGAACAGAAGAATGGATTACGTAGAACGATTGGAAGAGAGAGAGAGGGAACGTATTTGAGGTCCAATCCTTTGCACGCTCGCTGCGTTGCCGGTGATTTCTGGCAGATCGTGCCGTCCTCCACCCATCGGTGGCCAATCAGATCGGACGGTGCATATGAAAACTACAGCGGTTTGATAGTAAGGTTGCAGCCGTAGGATTTCGCCTTATTTTAATTTCTTTCTGGTTTAGGACAACGGAATTTTCGATCAGCAAGACAGCAACCCTTTGGTTCTGAGTAGGTATATTTTTTTATGGGCCGGAATAAGCCCAATTAGACCTAAATTAATGCATAGGTATATTCTCAATGGGCCGTCTATCCAAAGGTTGTAGATGTTTTGTGATTACTGATCACGATACTTTTGCAGCTTTGGGGATGTTCCTCTTTTTTTTTTGGTAGAAAGGATGTTCCTTCACTAGGTGACATTTTCGCAACCTTGGTAACTAGAGCAAGAATCTATTGCTTTTTTTTAAGCAAAAGATAATCATATATATTGATTAAAAGATATAGTTACACCATGTTTTTATTTATTCAAGATAAGCCCACAGGGCACGATCTGAAAAACGACTCGTAGTCGAGTACATATGAAGGCTTTTTTAGCCACCAAATAGATCCTGATAAAGATGTCCACTTGTATACTAATTAATTAAAAGTTGGAATTTAACTTGACAGAATATTCTTACAATATTTCATGAACAATGCTTAATCTCAGCTTCTATGGACAAGTTTAGTGTATAGTTGTTTCAAAGTGCCTAAATCCTAATGTATTTCGATATATACTGACTACACGAGTACATGGCCATATCGATCATTAATCCTTTTTTTTATAAGGATGCTATTTACGAAAACACATTAACCTTTCGATTTCTTCTTATCCTTTAAAATCTTTTAGAGATCATTTTGAACAATTTTCTAATTTCTCGTTCGAGTCGAGTGAGATCACACAAAGTTAATGTTCATCTACCATTGTGGTTTTATTCGAAATATCTCCACCAATTATGTACATTCGCATACTAAAATTCGAGACTTATGATTACTTATCCATAGAGGTGGCAATTAGGATCCAAATCCATGAATCCAATCCAATCCATCCACCAAATTATCCACCTAATCCAATCCATTTACATTCAATTGGATTGGTGGATTCATGGATCAATCCATGGATCCAAATGGCAAATTACGATTTGGTACCTATATTTTTTCTATTTTGCATTTTGGTACCTAAAATTTATATTTTTAAACGGAAAATATCATTGGAAAATTACATTTTGGTACCTAAAATTTTTCATGAACTGTTCCTTTTATCAGGTCAAAGAAACTAGAGAAGGCACATAATTCAGGACTTCATGTATTCTCCCCGTACTGGACATGTCAAGCTCGATGCGTTCTCCGCTCCCAAGATGATAGACAACGAGGAACGGCACATCTTTCTTGTAACAATAGTAGACCAAAGAATTTCGGGAAATTCCCTGGAAACTGTAGAAGGCGGTCGCAACGTCGATGGTGAACAACTTGATCCACGATTCCGGCACCCATAACTTCAGCATCGCCCAGATCTCCAACGACTCGCACTTAGGATCAGCTACACAAATCGCTACCAACGAATCTTCCTCCTTGTCGTCCGACGGCACGAACAACGAACCGATAGTCCACGGCCGATCAGCCGGATTCCTCACCTCCTCCGCTCTCTGGAAAACTTCCCTGCTCAGATCGAACGTGACGAAACGAGTAGCCTCGTCTCGCGGATATGCGTCGGCGCCCCACCAATACAGCTTCCCCTTGTAGCACGGAGGCTGCTGGGAATATGGGAGCAGAGGAAGACGACGAAGCGAGCGATCTGCAATGTATTCAAAAGCGTGTTTGAAAAACTGCACACTAGAAAGCAAAGTGTAAGTTTTTTTTTTAAACTTTAAATCGCGAATTTTGACTACATCGCGTGACTAACCTGTATCGTCCTCGATTATCTTCCACGAATCGTTCCTCAAGCTGTACAACTCCACGAAGCGAACTTCGCGAGCGCGAGTAGTAGTACTACCACTACTCCGATCGAATCGATCTTCCAGCTGCTGGTACTCGATTTGTCTGACGATTTTGTAGTCATTCGATTCCGGATCGAAGCCTAACCCGACGCCGCGAACCAACGCGCTCGCGCACGGACGGGTGAAGAGTGTCGCGGGGCAAGACTTGGTCTCCGAGGTTGTCGGATTCCAGAGGAACACATCCGTCGCCGGTCGAAAGGGTTTGATGGTACGGTGGAAGCCGCTCCCCGCGTGCATGCAAAACAAGCCGCCGCTGCACCCGGCGATGCGGTACTTTTTCTCCGAAGAGAAGGGCAGATCCACGGACTCGAGGAGCGGTTTGAATGTTTTGCAAGAGTGGAGGGAGTAAACTGGCCGATTCCGATAATATTCGCCGCGGATGACCATAACTAGCGGCCGAGGCGGATCGGAAATAGTTTCGCCCGCCGCGTCGTCGTCGTCGGCGGCGGCGGCGGAGGAAAAGGATAGTTTCTGCCGGGAGAAGGAGGGGTCGGAAATAATAGCGCGCCATGATTTGCAGACGCAGCGGAATCGGACGGTGCAGCTTGCTATCGGGAGCCTCCGCAAGATGTCGATCTGCACGTCCGCCGGAATTTCCTTACGCATGGCTTTGCGTAGCCCTAGCCCTAGCCGCCGTTTGGGATTCCGGAGTAGTGGACCAGTGGTGAGGCTTTGAGCTAAACCCTAGAATATATTTCTTTTACTAGTTATTGATCAAATTAGTTTAATAACAAATAAAAATTGATCGCAAAACAGCTATTTTTGTAAGAAAGATTAGTCAAGACCTTGGTAGAGCGGTAATCAAGGATTGGAAAACCATATACTACATTGGCGGTTTGACCAGAAAAATCTTTCTACTGGAAGTAAAACTAATAAAGACGATATTTAGCGGTATGAAATGATTGAACCACGATTAAATCATAGTTTCAGCATAAAATACTCTACTGCTGACATTTATGGTACAACATCGGGTGCAATTTTCCAATTTTTGGTTATAGTGCGATTAGTTTTAAATCTGGTGGTCCCAAATTCCCAATAGTCTATATCTTCCGGAATATATAGTTTTTCTTTCTCAACCCTCCAAACAAAATCCAATCCCAAAACGGCGGCTAGGGTTAGGGTTTTACGCAAGCCATGCAGAAGGAAATTCCGGCGGACCTTCAGCTCGACGTCTTGCGGAGGCTTCCACTATCCCGGTGCATCGTCCGATTCCGCCGCGTCAGCAAATCATGGCGCGCTCTCCTTTCGGAACCCTCTTTCCTCCGGCAGAAACTATCCTGGCCCGAAACGTCGTCGGATTCTTCTTCTCCGCCGCTGACTATGATGATCGAGAACAATAACTCCCTCCTCAACGGCATCCAACGCGCCAGGTCAGCTTACTCTCTCTACTCTCGCCACGCGCTCATACGGCTCCGCCGCGAGGCGGCGGACATACCCTCCAATTTGCACAACTACGACATTGCCGGGTGCTGCAACGGTCTGTTGTGCTTCTACGAGCGACGTAGCCGACCGGCGGGGGACGCGATTCTTTGGAATCCGACAACCTCAGAAACAAAAGTTTTGCCGCCTACAATATTCAACCGCCGACACACGAGTGCCTGGGTTAATACAGTTGGATTTGGATTCGACCCGGAAACGAACGACTACAAAGTCGTCAGAAGAATAAACTATTTCGAAGATCAAGCGAGTCCGATGGACTGCTTCTTCGTGGAGCTGTATAGCTTGACGACCGATTCGTGGAAGGAAATCCATGGAGGCCCTTTCCTTCCCCTGGTTCCGCCTCCCGAGGTCGCTCGGTGTTTCAACGGGAAGTTGTATTGGTGGAGCCACCCGTTGCGCTATGTATTCGAGCTCGTCTCGTTCGACCTGAGCAAGGAAGTGTTCCGTGGAGGGCAAGTGGGGAACCCAGCCGAGCTATTCGAGGTCCGGTCCTTGTTCGTGGTGCCGAACCAGGAGGAGGATTCGTTGGTGGCGATTGGTTCCCCTCGTCACAACCCCTCCTCTTTGGAGGTATGGGCGCTACTGAGGTTGTGGGTGACCGCGTCGTGGACCAAGCTGTACGTCTTCGTTCCTGACTACTGTGAATTCTATGGGATTTCGAGGGATTTCGTGTTTTACGATCGTTTAATGTATTCGGATGCTAGTGATTGCGTCATGAACGAGGGGAAGATCACCGCCTGCCGTTTGGGGACCGGAGAAATTATAGAGCTTGGCATCTCGACGAGTGTGGTGCATCTGATAGTGAATTATGTGCCTTCTCGAGTTTCTTTGGTATAAGGAAAGGAAGAGTCTATCTGTTTCTGGTTTCATCATTGATCGTTTTAGATAATTGTTGCAGTTCAATCTCAACCGGGACAAATGCAAGCTATATGTGTCTTGCTGCTGAAGAAATAAAGCCTGCAGTTAAAAAAATGAAGAATGCAGGGGAGGTGAGGTGCAGGACAACTTGGAAGTGATGATCTGTGATGTGTGAAGTAAAGATCAAGTGGCCTGAAGGCTGAAGCTGAATTGAGGCCAGGTCACTTCTTTTGGGACCACAGCTGAGGGTATTAGTGCCAATGTCCCTGCTGGAATTGGTAGGAGACAAGGAAAGCGACTGCTGTACTTGCTCCAGTCTTTGTTTTGTTGGTTTATGCTTGTTGTTTCCTAGTAAAATCTGTCTAGGGTTTGATGTCCAGCCTATAAAAGGCTTGTTATGTTTTTAGTTGATGTAATGTGAGTGAAATGATATTGAAATGCAATGGAAATGAGATCTGAAGCTTGAAAGCTCGGATATTGTCCAAGCAGCTCTGTTTTTTGGGTTACTGTTACATTTGTTTCTTAGTTTTGAAGTTAGCTTTCTGCACAATTTCATATTCTACAATAATGATTCTCCGTTGAGCTATGTATTCGATCTCGTCTCGTTCGACCTGAGCAAGGAAGTGTTCCGTGGAGGGCAAGTGGGGAACCCAGCCGAGCTATTCGAGGTCCGGTCCTTGTTCGTGGTGCCGAACCAGGAGGAGGATTCGTTGGTGGCGATTGGTTCCCCTCGTCACAACCCCTCCTCTTTGGAGGTATGGGCGCTACTGAGGTTGTGGGTGACCGCGTCGTGGACCAAGCTGTACGTCTTCGTTCCTGACTACTATGAATTCTATGGGATTTCGAGGGATTTCGTGTTTTACGATCGTTTAATGTATTCGGATGCTAGTGATTGCGTCATGAACGAGGGGAAGATCACCGCCTGCCGTTTGGGGACCGGAGAAATTATAGAGCTTGGCATCTCGACGAGTGTGGTGCATCTGATAGTGAATTATGTGCCTTCTCGAGTTTCTTTGGTATAAGGAAAGGAAGAGTCTATCTGTTTCTGGTTTCATCATTGATCGTTTTAGATAATTGTTGCAGTTCAATCTGAACCGGGACAAATGCAAGCTATATGTGTCTTGCTGCTGAAGAAATAAAGCCTGCAGTTAAAAAAATGAAGAATGCAGGGGAGGTGAGGTGCAGGACAACTTGGAAGTGATGATCTGTGATGAGTGAAGTAAAGATCAAGTGGCCTGAAGGCTGAAGCTGAATTGAGGCCAGGTCACATCTTTTGGGACCACAGCTGAGGGTATTAGTGCCAATGTCCCTGCTGGAATTGGTAGGAGACAAGGAAAGCGACTGCTGTACTTGCTCCAGTCTTTGTTTTGTTGGTTTATGCTTGTTGTTTCCTAGTAAAATCTGTCTAGGGTTTGATGTCCAGCCTATAAAAGGCTTGTTATGTTTTTAGTTGATGTAATGTGAGTGAAATGATATTGAAATGCAATGGAAATGAGATCTGAAGCTTGAAAGCTCGGATATTGTCCAAGCAGCTCTGTTTTTTGGGTTACTGTTACATTTGTTTCTTAGTTTTGAAGTTAGCTTTCTGCACAATTTCATATTCTACAATAATGATTCTCCGTTGAGCTATGTATTCGATCTCGTCTCGTTCGACCTGAGCAAGGAAGTGTTCCGTGGAGGGCAAGTGGGGAACCCAGCCAAGCTATTCGAGGTCCGGTCCTTGTTCGTGGTGCCGAACCAGGAGGAGGATTCGTTGGTGGCGATTGGTTCCCCTCGTCACAACCCCTCCGCTTTGGAGGTATGGGCGCTACTGAGGTTGTGGGTGACCGCGTCGTGGACCAAGCTTTACGTCTTCGTTCCTGACTACTATGAATTCTATGGGATTTCGAGGGATTTCGTGTTTTACGATCGTTTAATGTATTCGGATGCTAGTGATTGCGTCATGAACGAGGGGAAGATCACCGCCTGCCGTTTGGGGACCGGAGAAATTATAGAGCTTGGCATCTCGACGAGTGTGGTGCATCTGATAGTGAATTATGTGCCTTCTCGAGTTTCTTTAGTATAAGGAAAGGAAGAGTCTATCTGCATCTGGTTTCATCATTGATCGTTTTAGATAATTGTTGCAGTTCAATCTCAACCGGGACAAATGCAAGCTATATGTGTCTTGTTGCTGAAGAAATAAAGCCTGCAGTTAAAGAAATGAAGAATGCAGGGGAGGTGAGGTGCAGGACAACTTGGAAGTGATGATCTGTGATGTGTGAAGTAAAGATCAAGTGGCCTGAAGGCTGAAGCTGAATTGAGGCCAGGTCACTTCTTTTGGGACCACAGCTGAGGGTATTAGTGCCAATGTCGCTCCTGGAATTGGCAGGAGACAAGGAAAGCGACTGCTGTACTTGCTTCAATCTTTGTTTTGTTGGTTTATGCTTGTTGTTTCCTAGTAAAATCTATCTAGGGTTTGATGTCCTGCCTATAAAAGGCTTGTTATGTTTTCAGTTGATGTAATGTAAGTGAAATGATATTGAAATGCAATGGAAATGAGATCTGAAGCTTGAAAGCTCGGATATTGTCCAATCAGCTCTGTTTTTTTTTGTTACTGTTACCTTGGTTTCTTAGTTTTGAAGTTAGCTTTCTACACAATTTCATATTCTACAATAATGATTATACGTAGAGCTCAATATGTGAATCGGGAGTTCATGAATGTTATAGACTTTCTAGCTAGTACAGCCATCCTAATAAGTGCATGCAAATAAGTTTTGATTTGACTTCTCAAACCTTGAACTTACATGGTTCTTGACCTCCTCTGTAAGCGAATCCAAACCCCTGTTATGAGACAAGTCATCGTGACGATTCGACAATTTCTGGAGTTATGTATAATTAATACATCCTTTATAATTATGTGTTCCGTATTAATTCAGTGTGTTTGATATAATCGGTAATTATGTGTCTCCTAGTAGGAAAAGAATTAAGGAGATTTGGGTTGTGTAACTCCTATAACTATAGACATGATCAATATATGAACTCCTTGAAGTGGAAACACTTGGTCCCAGGGAAATGTGGCTCAATCGAACGATGACAGAAAATTTTAAAGGAAACAAAAACAATTTAGCAAAGAAAATGCATAAGAATTCAGTTATGCCTACTACTCTAACAGTTGACGACGGAAAGAATGGAAAGCTAGAACAAAGAAATGAAGTTTAGCCTATGATGCATCCTCAACCAAGGCTAGTTTCTGTGGAAAACATGATGGGATCTTGAATTTCCCCCTGATGCATCTTGATAGCTTGATTATGGGCGATGTTTCTCACGAATACTCCCCTAGGCTTTTGTTCAAACATAAAGAAAAGTCACAATCACCCAAGACAAAGCAAAAATAAACACAACAAAAATATTCTCGTTACACAAACAGGGAGTATGACAACTATACTTGAATCACAGAAAGGAATGACATGTGTTGGATGTGAACTGCAATGCCAGACTTACTCATTGATCTGTATGAAGGTGAAGAGCTTACCAAGTGATTTGGCAGTTCAATAGGAGGCTATGGGCGATGCTCATCCACAGGTTACAGCCCTAGTACAAACAGTCGAATAAAAAAGAAAATTAGCTTGTATAGTAAGGGCATGCAATGCAAGTGAAGAAAGAGAAACGTGGTTCCGATAGTATGATGGGTTGAAGCGATGGGAAGAGCTGGGGTAATCTAATAGCTTAGTACTAAGATGGTGGTGCCGACAGATGGCAACAAAGGCTGCAAAGATAAGCAGCTGACATCACAAGACTCTATAGATGCTTGATCGACCTGGAACTCTAGCAGTCTCTAGACTAAACATGCAGACCTTACGAACAGTAGTTTGTAAGAGAGTTTACAATCACTGACTTCTGCCTCCTCATTTGAAAGTCAAGAACACGACGATACTGAGTGTAACACTCGAGGGATTTCCAATCAGTTCTCTGGCTGTACTGAAATTAATTTGGTATACTTAAAAGTTGTACTATGAAACATCAGTAAGAAATTAGTTCAGGGAAATGAGGCAATGGATATAATACAAACCTATAAAACATGAATGGAAAGGAGCGTTACTGGAAGCATAAAGGAGTAGTTGAACAGAATGAGAATCATTTGTGAAACTCATTAGCTGGCAATTGCACAATAAAGGGAAATAAATTTTCAGTTTGTGAAAATAAGTGATCGATTATAAATAAATTACTCACTGGTCATTGATAAAGAAAAATTCGTCCATGCACGGACCCACAAAGCTTGAGAATGATGAAATGCTCCTTGTTGGTGCTATCGTAATGGAGCTTTGTGTGCCACCAATTTGGAAGCGGGGTGAAAATACAACAAAGCATGTTTGGAGCAGAGGACAATTGCAGGTTCCTTTTGGCTCCTGAGTCATTGCAGGCCCAGTAAAAAAATCCAGTTAAAAACAAAAACGGCACTGAAACAGCAAGCAAAACAATAGATAGGAAACAGACACACACCTTTGGGATTCCTTTTGAAGTAGTTGATAAAACTCTTGAATCCTAACACAAAAACAGAATCAGAGAACTTAATTTCCTTCACTTTGAAAGCAAAACCCAAATGGAGAAGGATTTAACGAAATAAAAGAACAGAAACCTTTTTTTTTCCAATTGGCTTACTGCGGCGTGCAGAAAGCAACCTCTGTCATTTCAGCTCACAACTACTAATGTAATTTAGAATGTAATATAACGCTAGCTAAATTATATTTTCCTGTGAAATTTCTTAGAAGCAATAAAATATGCATAGTACCTCTACTTGAAATTGCGTTCTCAACCGGAACCTTCTGTAAAGCAGGGACGTTCGTAGTCTTTCCCTTGGGAGACTTGCACTCCTTAGTATATTTGTCATTACCTTTATAGAATTGGAGTCACAACTCTTTTAAAGAAGCCTGTAGCTTGACATTTCGTTTGGTCTTGGCATCCTGAAGACCAACCTACAGGTCGTGGCAACACAAAATGTGAAAATGCTACCAACATCAAATACAAAACACAGAAACACAAACAGCGAACTAACAAATGTTCATGTCGTTATACCAACCAGCCATAACTGTTAGGAGAACACAGTAAAGTAAATCTTAACTCATTTCCAAGCACACATGAAAGTCAAATGTCCAGGGTGTAAGATGATTTGTTGATGTTGACATATTTGAGGCTCGTATAAATTTGCTGTGTAGAGAGAAAAGTGAAGAACAAATATGAAGCACTGGTAAGCAAACTTACTTGTAAGGCAGACAAATTGTCTACTGCCAACCAAGCATCGTTATGGAATTGGTCTTGAGCATCACCGCTCATTGTCGTTGTGAATTCTAGCGATTGTTTGCTTTCTTGCTCTGATCTCATTAGCGAGTTGTATTTTTAAGCATGATTCGCCTACGTACAAATGATGCAATCAGAGTATGGAATCAAAGCCATAATAAAGGAAAATAGAATTGTAGAACATTGCATTCGCAATAAGAACAGACATAACAGCAAAAGTTATCTGAAAGCCATTCCTATTGCACTATTAAAATCAACCTTTGGGGTGGCAAAACACAGACACAGCTCACCTATCTATTCATCCCACGCAACACGACCTCTATCCATTCCAATATAAGCATCTCATGGGTGTATTTCTGTGAAACGACAGGTACAAAGTCAATTGATAAGGGTCAAACGTATAAGAGAATTACAAAAGGTTGCGGTAGGTAACTATAACCATTTCTCTAGCAGACTCAACCGCATCATAAGGGCATCCCATGATGGGTATTGAACACAAATATTCAACGATATCTATTAGGTGCACATAATTAGTAATACTGCAGAGAATTTTTACAATAATTTTGATAATCTATAATTGACATTGGGGGGGGGGGGGGGGGGGGGGGGGGTAAAGGAAACAGTGGTGGTGAATGAGCATGACAACAATTAAAAGTTAAATATAAGTCGGTAAGCAAGCAAGCTTAGATTTTATCATCCTATCCGTGGAAGAAAAAGATGCAGGCTCTGTAAGGTTGACACTGAAACGCAAAAAGTTACATCCATATGTACCAAATATGTATTACAGACAAAAGCATACTCAGCTATAATACAAAGAGCAAGTATGTACTCTTGCAAATATGTAATGGCCAAAATCGCATAACAGACAATTCCTACAATGATTCCCTACAATGATTTTGAAACTAACAAACAATGATGAACGAAACAGGCTGTGAAACTAACTAATCCTTAGTCTGAAATTATTCCGTAACCTGAAGCAAGAAATAATAGCAGTTCATAGGTATCTTCTCACTGTGAATTGGTTCAACTCGTTCCTATCACTGCTTCTCGATCTCAATTTTAACAAAATATAAATATATATAATGTAAGATAACATCCTTACCTAGAAGGTGAGTTGTTTCCAAGGCTCTCTAAGTATTAAGAGAAAAATGGTAACAGCTGTGCTTAAGAAAGATTGACCCCTCCTTGGAGTTTTCTCTTTCATTCCCAAATAATATTTGGTTTCCCCTCAATTCAAGTTATGGAAACTGAGGGTTAGTTTTTGCTGCTTCCCAGGAAAGGCTTGTGACGGCGGTAGCTTCATGGTGCCTAAGTGGCTTATCCTGAACTCAGAATCTCAGTTTGCAACTAACACACAGACCCTCGAGGCCTGAAACAAAACCAGAAGTCAATTTTATGAGCTTTAATGTCTCTATACTCCTCTTATCCTTTTCTCTTGTCCCACCAAAAGCTACCTCACCTGAAAAATAGAAGAACAGGATCGGTATAAGAAGAAATTGAAAAGAGAAGGCTTGAAAAACCAGCGACATAAGTAGAAAGAGGAACCTGGGATTCAGCCAGTGAAATCAAGTGGGACTGGGAGCCAGGGGAAGCCTCGGTCACTATGTTCCGAGCAGCTATTGGGACCGTTCTAGATGTTGTTTGCCCATTTCCTTTCTGGTTCCTTCATCTATTCTTGGAAAGCTCGTTTCTCCTCAAATCCCCCTGACTTCGCCACTTGCAAACCTCTCAAATATTTGAGGTTATTCGCCCTCCGCTACTCACTTCACTGTCAGCCCCGGCCTCGAATCCTAGCTTCTGACGAAGATCTCAATGACGCCGAATAGTCAGGATCGTCGGTGTTGGGATTCCGCCGAGGTCGTCTATGTGAGTGCGTGCATAACTATAAGGGGAGGGTTGAGAGGAGTTGGGATTCGTCTTTCCTCCTAGCCATCGGCATGTTCGCGGGATCAGCGGGGACGGTTGCCGCTGTGGGTTTGGGTGGATGGGAGGACGGGGTATTGGCGATTCCGCCGAGAGAGAATTAGGGATTTTGGGTTTGTTGAGAGTGATGGAAGATGCGTGAGTGAAAGAAGGGAGTTGGGCTTTGTTGGGGGAGATGGTACAGATGGGT